ATCAAAATTATTATTAATCTTGTACTTACTCACCCAAATCTCAATCTTCTTTGTTGCATGGCATTGCTTTAACAATGAAAATCGATCTCCCTCGAAAACCCTAAGGACAAGAGCATCCTTAAGAATGTTCGTCGTCCCACATGGCAGATCACAAAATTTCCAGATGTTTTCGCTCGAAGAATTGATTTTAGTTAGGTGGTACACAAGATCAGTCTTTTCAAAATAAGTAACCAAATACAAATTTCCATTCAACGATACACCAGTTTTTCTGTGTAATTTAACAGGTTTTACTTGCTGACTATTATCTCCAGACTCGCGGTCTTTCCACGCATCAGAGGCAAAGTCACGGATTGTCAACAATCTCTGGTTGGGGTTTTCCTTCAGATCACAAGCAGCGAAGATCTTGTAACTCCCCTTATTGTTGTATCCTAAGCCATATGACTCCCTATGAGTGTGGTTTGAATCCTGGTCGATCCATCTACTATGTCTCAGCCACGGGTTCCAAACCACAGCTCCTTTCTCCATGTCACATAGCAACAACTCATTGCCATCAACCAAGCTTTTAGGTATCTGAGATTCTAGACCGGGAATATCTAAGGTTAACTCACGCACCACTATCTTGGGATGGATGCTTACCGAATAAATCTTGGATTTGGTTGCTAAGATGAATCGAAACGTCGTCTTGTGGTTGTTGATGAACGTCTTGTCGCCGAAGAGAGCGTTCCATTGTTTCGATACGGTTTTGAAGCGAAGAAGAGATTCTGGTGGGACACGAGAAAGTATCTCTTCAATCAACTCCCATGGAAGCTTCTCCTCATGAGCCATTAGGTTCTTTTGTATTGAGTCGAAACTTTCAAATTGACTACTTTACTTTACTTATAAGCTTATAATTAGGGTTTTAAGCCGATTGTTCATTAAGTAATATTTCCAAATATCTCGTTTGTGAATAATTAAACAACAAAATCTCCAAAATATCTAAATTTTACAAAATTTGTGTATATTATTTCATTTTATTTTTATTTTCCTTTTAAAAACTCTTCTATTAGATCACTTTTTACTTCCTTAAGTTTATTTTGTAAAAAAATATCAAGTTTGAAATATTGGCGACTCATGTATAACAAAATTAAATTCTATGAAATATATTACTTACATATGTGTTTCTAATTTTACATATTTTATATAAAGAAATCTTACATTTTTAGCATTTAAATTGGAAAAAAAAAAACGATCATGAGATCTATATTAGCATTAGATTGTTGTATTACGACTTACGAGACTCGCCACTTTTCTTAACAAATGTCTCTGTTCCAAGCTCACAAATCATTGCCTTCGAGGATCACCAAAGGTAGGGAAACTTATGTGTCTGTAATGACACTTTGGTAGTAATTCATAGCTTTCAACTTTTTCATGTTATGACAAATACTATTTATCCAATTTCGATTATCCACCAGGCCACGCTAAACAAATCATTTGAAAACATAAAAAAGCTTTGTAGTCTCTGATCCATAAAACACGAAATCTTCACAGTAAACCTAAATAAGAAGTCAGAAATGTAACTTTTGCTCTATTAAACTAAAAGTGATGTAAACAAGATTTTAGGTTTTGAAAAGATTGGACTTTATAAGGTTTTGAAAAGCTCTGTTTTCTTGTAGATCTTAATATCTTATTAGTATTTATGAGAGACTCACCATTAATCGATCTTTTTATTTGTGAGAGGTGATGAGAAGCCATACATTATAACAAAGGGAAGGATAAAATTGTGTGTCTGAACTCTGAAGTAATGCTTAGGTAGCAAATACAGAACACTTGGGTTTTACTGTAAGAAATGGTGTTTCCTCAAATATAGCGTGTGATATAGAACACTGGAAATCTCTTTTGTTCCAAGATCTAACAACAAATGAAAGCTACCAAATTCTTCAGACGAAATTACTTCCGTATCAAAGTCCGGACCACGAGAATTAAACAGAATCCGTTAACATTGATTAGTCTAGTTTGCCCAAATTTTTTAAAAGAAAATCTGAAAAGTTTTATTTTTGCCAAAAACAGAGGGAAAAGTAGTAAAATCTCTAGTTTAAACACAGAAGATGGTTTGTGATAAAAAAAACACCAAAATTTAAATCAACTTTAGCTTCCTCAATAACCAAACAAGAAGCCAAAATGTCGTAACACTAGACTTGTAATGTTGCTAGTTCTTTTCCTTGAACTCGAGGGACCGGTACCAAACTGGGAATAAAGGTACAGTGTGAAGGCCAAGGATCAACCACACAATCTATATGAGTTTTGCTGATCAACTTATTTCCTCCCAAAACATAGATCCAAGCCCAACCAGTTTCGTCGCAAGAGCACACGACGAGCCTTTTATCTTCGATGAAGTAACTTGGCTGAGAGTAGGATACGGTGTCAAATAAATTCGGCAAGTTAGGACTTGACAAAGTCATGAAATTAATCCAAACCACATCATCACCATTCTCATAGTTAATCTTGTTCTCAGTCACCCAAATCTCAATCTTTTTTGTTACCATGCATTGCTTTAGCAATGAAAACCGATCTCCCCTAAAGATCTTAAGGGCAAGAGCATCGCCATGGTTTTTCCCACATGGTAGATCACAAAATCTGATGGATTTTTCCCTCGAAAAATCGAATTTATTTAGGTGGTACAAGGGATCGGTCTTGTCACAAAAACCAACCCTGTACAAAAATCCATTCAACGATACAACACTTTTGGTTTTTATTTTACGTTTTCTTCTACCACGAGATTTTGACTTGAGGACTTTCCACGCATCGGAGGCAAAGTCATAGATTTTCCACAAGCTCTTGGTGGGATCTTCCTTCCCAGGAGAAGTAGCAGCGATCTTGTAGTTCTTATTGTTGTCGTATCCTATACCCTTGAATGTCATACGAGTATGTTCTAAACCCGGCTCGATCCATGTACTCTGTCTCAACCATGGGTTCCAAACAACGGCTCCTTTCTTCTTGTCACATAGCAACAACTCATTGCAATCAAGCAAACTATTAACTTTCTGAGACTCTAAACCGGGAATACCTAAGGTTAACTCACGCACTACTATCTTGGGATCGATGCCTACCGAATAAAACTTGGATTTGGTTGCTAAGATGAATCGAAACGTCGTCTTGTGGTTGTTGATGAACGTCTTGTCGTTGAAAAGAGCGTTCCATTGTTTCGATACGGTTCTGAAGCGAACAAGAGATTCTGGTGGGACACGAGAGAGTATCTCTTGAGTCAAATCCCATGGAAGCTTCTCCTTCGCCATCTGTTTTCCTAAACTAGGGTTTCAACCGAATGTTCGTAAAATGGATCTCCGAAATATTGAGATTTAACAAAACAAGAAATTGTTAGATATTCACAATTTCACACGTAATCATAGTTTCATTATTTCCTTAAATTTTTTAAAAAATATCTCTTAAATATTAATTTAAGTTTATACTTTCCAAATTGAAATAAATCCAACTTTCGACTAATAAACAAATTTCTTTTATAAAGTTGCTAACATCCACAACGCCTCACGGAACAAACGATTCAGAAAAATATAACTTTTATTTGTTAATACATATATGATGATCCATAAAACAATGAACTCTTAATCAAATTAGTTGCTATAAACCCAATCAATAAGTCAATAAAAACAAACGTGTCATTATTGTTGCTCTTGTGCTAATGGAATAGGAACCAAACTAGGAACATAGACCAGGTGAAAAGGCCAAGGATCAACCTCAAAACCCATTTGAATCTTCTTGAACATATCTCCCTTCACAATGCAGATGCAAGGCTTTCCAATTTCATCACAATTACACACAATGAGCCTCTCACACCTCAGGGGAATTTGGACTTGCGTGATTCGACTGGAGATAGATAACTTATACAAATGTATGAAGAGGTGGTATTCAAGAGTATGTATAAGAAAGAAGCTCAGAATGTGTAAGTTAACAGTATCAAAATCATGTTAAAAACGATCTAAAATCATGTTATAACCCTTATATTCCAATTTCTTACACATTTGACCCCTAACTTTTTTTTGTTGTTGTTGTTGTGTGTGTGTAAATACAATTCAATTGTTCTTTGTTTATTACTATATTCAATTAAAGAATCTTACGGTTTATAAGACCAAAAAAAAAAGTAGTTCTTTGATTAGAAATACAGTTTAGGATAATATTTCTTTAGTATTCGTGATTAGAATATATGGTTTAAGCTATACGCTTTTTGTTTAAAATAGTAAAGAAATATTCATTCGATCAATTACCAAAATACTACTCTTCCTCATCATCGTCGTCATCTTCTTCCTCGCCATCTTCCTCCCAATCTTCATCTGCCTTTTCTTCTTATTCTACTTCTGCAAGTATGCAATACTCTCCAGAGCTTTCAGACTTGGCACTGGAATCCTTTCCGAGCGATGAAGTGCAACTGCTGCAATTGCACCACCTTGATTCACATTCACAACTGCTACAACTCCACCTCCTCCGACCTCTTATTTCTGAACAAGAAGTCTTCATTAATTTCCAAGATCAGGTACATGACGTCCAAGCTGAAGCTGTGCAGATCTGGTACTAGAGTGGTTTGATGGAGAGATAGACCTTGCGTTCCATGATCATGATGGTTTGGCAGTCAATAATCATCTCAATGTCAATGGGATAATGATCAGGAGGAAGAGTATTATCCTAAAAAGCTGAGTATATCTTTAGCATAAATCGTATATTCTAATCACGAATTATGAAAGAGTGAGTACCAAAGAAATATTACCCTAAACCGTATTTTTAATCAAAAAACTACTTTGCAGTAGCTTCGATGACAAGTTAGATTAGATTTTCTTTTGTTATTTTTTTTTATTTACTTTGGATTTAAACTCGTACATCCCCTCAAGCCATAACTTGGATTGTTGTGTTAAGAGACTCACCACTTTTCTTTTCAAATTTGTCTGTGTAGAAAATCACATCCAAATTAAAGTAAAGAAAGTTTTCTATCCTGAAAAGAATATATATTTTGAGTCATAATATACACTTTATTTCAGTGTGAAAATTTACAAAGCCTCACTGAACAAACAAACCATTAAAAAAAAATAGAACTTTTATTTGTTAATATATGATCCATAAAACAATGAACTATTAATCAATTTAGTTTGCAATAACCCAAACAATACGTCGTCAAAATGTAATAAAAGATAAACTTGTCATTTTTGTTCCTCTTGAGCTAAAGGAATAGGAACCAAACTAGGAACATAGACAAGGTGAAAAGGCCAAGGATCAACCTCAAAACCCATTTGTATCTTCTTGAACCTATCTCCTTTCACAATGTAGATGCAAGGCTTTCCACTTTCATCACAAGTACACACAATGAGCCTCTTGTCATCATTGTTATCCATGAAGTAACTTGGCTGCGACTTAGAGTAAATATGGTCTTGTAATCTCGGGAAGTTTGGTATCGACACAGTCATTAACAGTCTCCACGAGACAATCTCCTTCCTATCTCCACTAATCCTGTCCTTAGTCACCCAAATCTTGATCTTCTTTGTTGTCACGCATTGTTCCAACAGAGTAAACCGATCTCCCCTAAACACCTCAAGGATTTGAGTATCGCCAAAATCGTTCTTACACGGCAAGAGACAAAAGGGCTCGAATCTCTCCCTCGAAAAGTCAAAGCTTTGGATAAAACAATCACCACCACTCTCACATCTCATAGCAATCCAATACAAAGTTCCATTCAACGATAAAACAGTCCGGGGAGACCTTAAGTGCCAATCAAGTAAACCAAACTTAAGATCCTTCCACGCATTAGTTTCAAACTCGTAGATTGAAACTCTCGGGTTAATTTTGGTGTTACTACCGTCTATGTCACTGCTGTAACCATAGCTAAACCCTAAGATCTTGTAACACTTCTCCGGTCTACTATTATCATACCCTAGTCCATATAAATTGAATCTAGTCCTCTTAGGCTCTATCCATTTAGTTTGTTGTCTCAACCATGGATTCCAGACCGCAACCTCGTCAATCAAAGCAGGACATAACAAAAACCCGTCGCAGTAAAAGAGGTTTCGATATACCTTAAGTTTCTTAGAACCCTGAGTTTCTAGGTTTAGCTCACGCACCTCTAAGGAGTCATCGAGATTGATGCCTATTGAATAAATCTTGGAATCTTTCTCGGTCCGTAAGATGAATTGAGGACGGACGCAAGCCAAGTGATTGTTGATGAATCTCTGATCGTTGAAAAGTGTGTTCCATCGTTTGCAAACGGTTCGAAATCGAGTGAGAGATAGAGGTGGAACACGAAAAAGTATCTCATCCTCCAACTCCGATGGAAGCTTTGTCGACATCGTTACCCTAATATCGTTGTTTCTTTGGGACAGAGAGAAACCCTTATTTCTAACAAGGTTCATTTATCTATAAATACTCGTTTAATGAAAAATAAAATAAAAAAGAGTTATTATAATTACTCCAAGATCTTTCTAATAAATATTTTCCACTTTTTACATTGGGTCAAAAATTATAAATATCCTTAAGTGAGGTTACACAATTATTGCAAGTTGATTTTATGGATGGGCAAGCCCAATAATTATACCATGAACCTTTGAAAAAATCTCAAAATTAATTTATCTTTCTTCTTTTGTCTTATTTTAATTTGGTGATATATTTGAAATTCTCAAAAATATTTTCTCTTTCTTCTTTTGTCTGATTTTAGTTTGGTGATACCATTTTTGCATTACTAGAAAATCTAACCAACATGTGAAAATGTCATATAACTACATTCACTTTGTGACTTATAAAATAGCTAGAGGTTTTATTTCTCTTATCAAAAACTCTTTGGGGCACACAATCTCCGATATATTCTACACACCAAACAGATATTCAAGATCCTCTAGTGTTAGTTGAATCGCAGAACTTTTACCATGTTTTTCACCCAATGCAGATGCAACAATGTTCCTTTTACGTTCCTGAAATAAAAAAAATTAAAGAAACAAAAATCACAATTGAGTGGAGGGAGTTATGTACACTATACAAAGAAAAGGATCCTGATAGGTTTGGAACAAAGAAACAATTAAATACCTGAAGAGTCAAAATTCGTTCCTCAACGGTATTTTTGATGGCAATACGAGTAACTGTAACAGTCCGAGTTTGTCCGATACGATGAGCTCGATCAATAGCTTGATCTTCAGTTGTTGGATTCCACCAAAGATCCAATAGAATAACATGACATGCAGCTACCATATTCAATCCAAGGTTTCCAGCTTTAAGAGACATCAGCATCACTTGAACCTGTTTGATATATAAAACATTAGATTGTCTTAGAGAAATGTAAAAATGAGCAAAACATAACTAATGTAACATCACTTACATCTGGATCATTGTTGAATTCTTTTACAGCTATATCTCTTGTTACTAGAGACATTGTACCATCTAATCTTCTGAAATTTATACGGTTTTGGAGAAAAGAATGCTCAACAAAGTCAAGCATACCAGTCCACTGAGAGAACACTATTGTCTTTATTGGTGGAGTGTCTGGACTGCCTTGCTGTGCAAGCGACTGAAGAATCTCTATCACAGCTTTGATTTTCGATGAAATAAACTCGCCTTGAAGCAAAACTAAAGCTTTTTTATCTTGAGGATCATCATAATCGTTGATGCAACTTCTAACTGCAGATTCAGTGAAAACAACATCATGTTTAAGCTCGTTGCAGCAATTAAGTGCAGGGCACGTTTTGTCATCCCCATTAATGTTTCCAGACACACACTCATAGCAAAACACATGACCACATAAAGTAACAACAGGGTCTATTGGTGGATCCTGCAGAGAATATCAAAGAGTAAAAAAGATTATCAGAGCATAATGAGAGAGAGCCTGAAGAGACAACCAATGCTCAATCATTACAATGTACTTACACTACAAACAGAGCAGATGGTAGAGGATAATTTCAAGAGATCAAGGTGCATGATAAAATCCTCTCTAGGTGCTACTTTAACTTCATCTGACATTTCTTTAATAGTATCTGAGTGACTATATCCTTTAACAAGTTGTGGATGGTTACAAGCTTGGCGTAGTCGTAAAAGCATCAGCAAAAGATAAGCCATGTGTTCATGCAAAGTCCCATCAGCAGCATATTCCTATAGATATAAGAGTAGAAAACGTCATATTACTAGGTACAAAGTCACCATTTACTTATACATATTACTAGGTAATTATTATTGGAGAATCACCTCGAACTTCAAACGTGAATACAATTCAAGCTTCCTGTAGAAAGACCATTCTACTACTGAAAGGTCCACTTTGCTCAAATTAACTTGCTTTGGTGGTAGATTAATTATAGGTAGTCCATCAAGTAATGTTCCTAAAATAGCACAACATAAAAGAGAATTAGCACAAACTACAAAAGTACATATATATTTATAAGAGCAAACGAATACCTTTGGTGCGGCGCAACATTATTCCCCTTAGGATAGCTTGAAGCTTCTTGTAACCATAAAGAGGGTTTTTAGTAATTGGAGCTTTTATTCTTTGGTGAAATGAATTGCACATGGCATACGGATGATATCTAAGAAACCTGAAATAGCTATAAAGATCGTCTACTTTGTTCTGTATCGGCGTTCCAGTCAGACACCATCTTCTTTTGGCTCTAAGACTGAAACAAGCTTTTGCAATTAAGGTTCTATGGTTTTTAATTGTATGAGATTCATCTAATACTACTCTCAACCACCTAACTCTTCCTAGTGCACCAACGTGAGACTGAAGCAGACTCGATCCTTCAAAGTTTTCTCTGCCTCTCTTATTACTCTTACTATCATAAAGATTCAGCAGAGGGTTTTGTGGAACTTCATTTGTAACAATGGCGTAAGTTGTCACGACGACATCATGTTTTGCTAATTCTTTAGGATCTTTGGTTCTGCGAGATCCATGGTAGACTAAAACAGAGAGCTTGTGTTCATCAGAAACCTTCTCTTTAACTTCTCTTGCCCATTGCTTAACAACACTTGCTGGACAAACTATTAATGTACCACCAGATTTTCGACTTTTTCGTTTTTTCTGCTTTGATTGTGACTTCAACTTTTGCAATAGAATAAGAGAGATGGTCGATATTGTTTTACCAAGTCCCTGCATTACCATATAGCACCACACATAATTTGTTAGAAATTTAACATCCACCTAATAAAAAAATGTGACAAACACCAACATAATTAAAAGTGACCTGATCATCTGCTAATATCCCTCCCAAACAATGCCTGCTTCTTTTTTCTTTCTTACGCATCCATTCCAATGCAATTTTCTGACAAACAATAAAGATTTTAGTAATACAATAGGACCAAATTCCAAAGTTTAAGTCAAAAACATGATAATTATTACCTGATGCCTCATAAGAGGAACTGTAAGAACACCAGGAGGTAGATCCTTTTCCGTCTTGGGTTGTTTCAGATCCTGTAATCAACTAAGCCAAATTAATGGAACAGCAAATACATAATTTAAATGCAAAATCACAAAAGAAAGAGCTACTTAAGTTAAGTAGTGTTGAAGTCCATTACTTGTAATGCAGCCTGATAGATGACTCTCTCGTTAACGGTGGTCTCCTCTTCTTGTACTTCTTCATCACTACCTGAACTCATGTCCATAGCATTATCCATCCTTAAACCTCCTTTTGATCTCAGAATCAAGAATTTGAGTTTCTAAGAAAAAGAATCAGCCCTGCCACGCAAAGACATTAGTGTTAATTCCTCTTAATTAAAGAAACGGTTATTTTAGCAAAGAAGATTATATAGCTGTAGCTATATATAGACAACCAGATTAAGCAACATTCTTTATGACCAGTGTCACATGAGTATTGAAATTAATGCATTCTTAAAAATTTAACAATCAAACATTACCAACTTTGAGGTTTAGGTTTTATAAAACCTTGTTCACGACGAGGTCAAAGTAATAAAAGTAAAAGGCAGCAGAACAAGAACAGAGGGAGAATCCGATGAAATTAGGACGTAATTAGTATGAAGATGAAACAACTCTGAGATTAAGAATCGCACTGTTGTTATTAGGGTTGCGGCTTGGACGGATAAATAGACGATCGCAAGGAACAAATTCTAAAGAGAAACAAAACAAACAGTCTCTTCTCCTTATATTAAACCAAGAAAGGGCTTTATTACTAAAGTCGGTTGGCCCAATAAGATTGTATAATCTGTATATTACACTTACATACCATGTCAGTAATCCAACGGTCCCTATCTGATTTCAAGAGTTTTTTAACGGCTGCGATTTTAAGTGGGAAGCTGAAAAACAGAGTAACCAAATCTTTACTTCTCGGTTACGTTTTTGTCTTCCTCTGCTAAACCCTAATTTCATATCATTAATCAAACATCGACCCAGCTATAACCCGGAGTCTTGAGAAGCCCTCTTTGATTCTGTGTCATTCTAATTTTTGCTGCATCTTCCCATCTCTCAGCAGCTGAATAGGTATTGGATAGAAGAACTAAGCTTTCTGTTGTTTCTCCAAGACTCTGCATCTTTTTCGACACTTCATTCCCAAGTTCCACATTCTTGTATGTCCAACAAGCAGATAGAAGTGTACCCAACACGCGAATATCGGGCTCAAATGGCATCTTGTTGACGAAATCATAAGCTTCATCCAAGTATCCGGCACGGGCTAGGAGATCAGTCATGCAATTGTAATGGTCTATTCTTGGGGTGACGTTGAAATCTCCTCGAGACATGGAGTTGAAGAGCTGTTTCCCTTCGTCCACAAGTCCTGAATGGCTATACGCAGACAAAATAGCAAGAAGAGTCACCTCGTCTGGGTTCACACCTGTTTCCTGCATACTGTTGAACAGAGAAAGAGCTTCTTTGCCAAGCCCATGAATCCCAAATCCAAACAGCATTGTGTTCCATGAAACTATATCTCGCATATGCATTGTGTCGAAAACTCTCTTGGCTACATAAAGTCTTCCGCACTTTGTGTACATATCCATCAGTGCATTACAAATGCTTGTGTTAACTGCATAGCCATTAACAACACAATACCCATGGCAACTAGAACCGTGTCCCCAAGCAGCCAAGTGAGAGCAAGCGGTTAAGACACCAACCAATGTTGTAATATCGGGGTGAATTCCGGATGATTTCATATCATGAAATAGACGAAAACTCTCTTCTGCACGACAGTTCTCCACACACCCAGAGATAAGAGAATTATATGAAACAATGTCTTTCAAGCCAATCTCACTAAACTGTCTAAAAGCATCACATAAGCTTCCAGACTTGGTGTAAAATGAAATTACTGTGTTACCAACAGTTAAGTCTAAGATGAAGCCTGCTTTAATCGCGTAACAATGTACGCATCGCCCTCCATTCAGATCTCCAAACCTTGCACAACCCATCAGAATAAGCCCAATGGCCACTGGTGTCACCATCGCCATATCTGCATTAACCAACATCTGCAAAAACACTTCTCCAGCTTCCTTTATCATATCATTTTCTACATAGCCTCCAATCATAGCACTCCAAGTTACCTCATTCTTCTTAAAGTCTGAATCAAAAACTCTTCTCGCATAGATAATGCACTTGCTTTTGGCATACACATCCAAGATCCCCGTCTTAACAACTAAATCATTGCTAAAACCCATTCTTGTGCAATACCCATGAACAGCTTTCCCTTCCCTCAATGCACCAGCCCTTCCGAGTGCAGGAAACATCCCAACAATGGTGGATAAATTAGGGCTAAGTCCATCGCTTCTACGCATATCCAAAAACAATCCAATGACATCAGTTAAACAGCAATGTAAAGAAAACCCAGAAATCATAGCATTCCAAGCGACAATATCTCTCTTAGGCATTTCATCGAACACCTTTATAGCCATCTCAAGTTCCCCACATTTAGCATAAAAATCAACCAGAGCAGTACATACATACATATCAGCTGCAAAGTTGCTACATTTCACATGGCTATGTATCAGCTTACCATCTTTAATTGCACGAAGACCAGCACATGCTTTTAAAACAAACGGGTACGTATATTTCGTGGGTCTAACACCAGAACTCAGCATCTTGTAGTAGAAATCCAAAGCTTTTTCTGGGAAACCATTCGACACATAGGCTCTGATCATCACATCCCACGTAATAGGATTGATCCTTGGATGAGGAATTTCGTCGAACACATGGCGTGCAAGTTCCACTTCGTTGCATGATGCATAGAGACGTGTTAAATTGACGAGCACTGTAGAGGAACACAACGTAAGAGAGCGTTTAAGAAGATGCTGATGAATGATCTGACCTAGGATTAGATCCCTTGATCGAATACAGGATTCAAGAAGTCTCAGAAACATTGGGATAATGGAATTGTAAGTTTTTTCAGTCATATGTTAGAACCAAACATCAAAAGTAAGTTCAGAACTTCGATGACTCTTATAACAAAAGTGAATTCCGACAACAAAAAAAAAAAAAAAAACATGTTTCAAGAAAAAATCAAAATAATTAAATGTTTATTCATCAGTGTCCATATTGCATTTGCTCTGGGGAATAATAACTAAGAAGCTTCTTGAACAGAGGAACAAGTGCAACCACAGCAAGTTGAAGCTGCTCAGAGCTGTTTACGCGGATGCTTACTTGCCCTGCACCTCTGTTATTCAGATTAGCACGAGCAATTAGATTAGAGGAACGTCCAATGGGTACTTGAGACTGTATATTCCCTCCGATAGCAAGATCGCCATGCCAATCCATCACGGAAAATCCAAGAGTTGATAAAAACCGACCTAGCGGATAATCTTTATCTCTAAACTGAGCTTCTAAAGTACCACCATAGGCAACATCTCCCCTACTAGTCATTGCTCCACCTGACATAACCATTCTGAACCGTTTATTAGCAATCAACTTATCTTCCACTTTCAGTCCCGCAGACACTGAATCACCCAAGAGTGTTACGGAGAGACCAGCTGCGGCTTTGTTTTTCCTAAAATTGTTAAATCTCGTTTCACTTCGAACAGTGTAGGCCAATTCCTTCCCAGCATTTTGCATGTCAAACCCTAGGGAAGTTGATCTACCATCTCCATGTTTAACCGAGCTAGCCAATTCCAGCTGCACATTTGCATCCTTCTTGTCCTTTGTCACTTGGCCAGAGAAAGATACCGGTATTTTGTCTTTAACAACAAATAGTCGTTCCGCATTCACACCTTCGTAACCAATATCATGATCCCATCCATGAGTTTCCAGCACTGGTCTAACAAGCCATTGATTGGAGGAATCAAGGTACCGGTACCGGTGAGTAGGATTGTCAGAGTCAAAAGATGCAGGTAGAGATAAATCTGGCATGGGAACTGGAACAGCTGCAGGTTCACTTCTCTCCTCTTCCACATTTTCACTATACCCGCTAGGCATATCTTTAATCTCAGCAGCAAATTTCTTCAACAACTTACGTCTCTTTCTTTCCTCTTTCATCTGCCTCTTCATAAATAGTTTCTCCCGATACTCCATCTCATCGAGATATTCCTTCCTGTGAGATTTATTAAGCTTAGCCATCTCAGCTTTAGTCAACCGCTTAAAGGGAGGAAGCTCATCATACTCTGATTCTTCGTCAGAATCTGATGATTCGTCCAAATCATCTTCATCTTCTTCATCATCGTACTGCTGCTCAGGAAGCTTAGCTTGTGGTCTTGATTGCAGAAGCGATGAGAGGAGCAATGGTAATGGTGGAGCCTTGGACCGAGATACAAATTGTTCCCCTGGAATATTATCTTGTAATTTCAGAAGAGCATTTGCTTCGGCTAGAATCTTGGATGCAAATGAGAGTAATAGCAAATGAGGCTTCCACACTTGGCCATTAGGTAATACTCTCTGGCCAGCCCGATTTGTCCTGCAAGCAGAGTGGTTCTCAACTAAAGAAACAGGGTTCATGAGCCTCATATCTCCCGCTGCTTGGCGAATGGCTTGCTGGATGACATGAGAACGTTGTGTTACAAACATGTCATAGCTAGAAGCAGTCCCATTTGGGCCATCTGGTGGAGCCGAAGCGGCATGAGTCAAACCCACAATGGCATTAAACCAAATCGATGGTCCAAAAACATCAGTAATGGTGCGCAATAGAGGCATGTCACCAGAATCTCTGCTTTGCATATCTAACCTATCAAGATATAATACAATGTCAGGCGGATTTTTCTTGATGAATGCCCTAACAGACTTCAGGATCTTCTCATTCTTGTGTTGATCTGACCAGGATGGTAAGAGACCGGGAGTGTCAATTACCCGTACCTTAATTCCTTGAACAAAACCCTCAATATCCTGAACCCTCTTTGTCCCCATCTGGAATGCATCAGTACTAATTTTCAGTTCATCGAAAATAGAATTGATAGTTGCACTTTTACCAACCCCACTTTTACCGAGCACCATAATCGTACAAGAAAAATCAAGGGGATCCTGTCCAGCTGCCTCAAGCTGTTCAGCCATGGCACTGGCACGATCAAAACTAAAGGCACCAACACGGCTTCCGTTTCTGCCCCTCAACTGTTCAGCCAATCCAAGCCTGTACAAAACCTGAGCAACAACAACATTATGTGGAGTTTGCCCTAATCTATGTGAAAGCCTCAAAAACTTGACCCTTATGAACTGGAGCTTCTCACGGGTCTCATCATGCTCATCTGTCTCCGCAGTGGTAGAGTCTTCAGCTTGCTGAGGCTGATTGTGAGACACATTTCCATTGACACGAGGCTGTTGTGGAACACGTGGAGCCGGTTCCAAAAGTGGAGCAGCACGACCAAGACCTGCTGGGCGAGCAGATGGTAATGATGCAGTATTTATTCTAGACTCTGTTGGTGAAACAGAACTTGATACCTCAGATTCTCTTTCCACATGTTGGCTTTCCTTAATCTCTGGACCTATATTAACGCTGCTGTCTTGCTGCTTTTCAATTTCCTTATTAGATTGAGGACTCTGTTGAATATCATGTCCTCCATTACGATTTTGAACAGTGTCCTGTTCTCTAAAAGTTACCCCAGGGAAGCTACTACTGCTGTGACCTTCAGTCTCTCCCTTTTCCTCGGAACTAGATTTTTCCAATGGAGATAAGGTCCCAGCTGCTACTTCAATACTATCATTCAAGGATTTGTCACCTGAAGCATTTTTAATACTATTGTAGTCGGTACCAGTCTCGACATTTCTTTTTGCCCCAGACTCATTATCTAAACATATGAAACCCTTCTCAAAGCAATTCCTATTTGTTCCTTCACCTTCCCCAACCTTTTTTTCTGTTCCCATGCCAGCTGATACATCAACTTTTTCGTCCAAAATTTCGTTTTCAATACCATCATTCCCTGTTTCCTCGGACCAGGCACTTGCTGAGATAACTTCTGCCACCAGTTCTTTATTCTCAGGAGAGACTATCCCATTTCCTGAAGAAGAATGTGTATATCCGTTTTCCAAATTCACATCCTCAGCCGCAAAAATGGAAGTAGATTCCTCACTGTTCTCAACCACATCCAAGCTCGATTCAATTTTACCATAAGAAATTTCAGCATCTGCTACTTCCCCTTGATCATCATCATTCATTTTGGCAGTCACCAAATCAGATTCAGCCTCCTTAGCAGTTGTATGCTGCAAGTTAACCTCACCATGGCTCTCTCCCACCACCGTATAATTAACCTTTAAATCTTCTACTCCCCTCTCATTGCTACTTGTTTCTTCCAAATCACCCACTTCCTCATGCTCATTCTTGGAATTCTCAGGAGTTTCCTCTAAAGGTAAATCCTCTTGCAACACATCGGCTTCGAATGATTCAGGTTGTGGACCCTCTTGCGAACCAATTGCTTCTTCAAAGACCTCTTCTTCATTATCCCTCACTTCATCAGATCCCACCAACTCATTTTTCTCTGCCAGCTTCTTCTCTTCCCCTTCTAACATGTCCACAATCTCAGCCCCATCTCCCATTTCTAAGATCAAAGCTGCTAACAAACCTCCAAACCAAAATCACGAATCACTGCAGCAAACCAAACAAAATACACTTACTCTTTAATCTTTATATAATTTCCAATAACCATAACAACAAAAATAGAGCCCTAGCTCAGAATTATCGCCGCAAATCCTAAAATCCTCGTCACTTTCAAATTCAATGGGAGTGAAAATATAACCAAATCATAAGAAATTCAAAAGATACAAGCAGAATCTATTAAGCACAAAATAAACTACAAAGGAGAGGAGAATCTCAATGGCGAAAATAATCTTACCTGGTTACTAGAGAGACAAGGCAACAAAAAATCCGAAAAAAAAATCATTCATGCGCTTTATTATTTTTGTATAATCGCCTTTTACTCGCCTGAGACAGTGTGACTACGACGGGAAGGAGAAGGAGATAAGAGACTTTGATGGACGGTGTTAGTCGGTTTGGGTTTTAACATCTGACGGTGAGAAATGGCTCTTGTATTGCAATCGTGAAAAAGGCATGTCACGTGATCAATAGTGAGGTGGGCCAAGGCCTTTTAGTTGGGCTGCATAATCTTGTTGGCCTTTTTATCTTCACGACAAGAGACAGATGCTTATTTGTTCTTTTAGAGCTATTCACCTGTCTTTTCATTGTTTGTCACTTGATGCCTGATGGTATTGGTAATTGAAGATCTCAATTTTTAGGTGTTAGAAATGTGATTTTATCACAAAAATCTGAAATATTTTCACCTTATAAACGATTATATTCTTTTCTTTTTTCAGTTGATTGATAGAATAGAGTTTGATTCACATTGACAGTATCCAGCTTTTTTGGGAGGATAGAAGAGAAGAGAAAAATAGGTAACACAAAAGGTATAATTTTATAATTAAGATTGAAAAATAAAAGGAAATAAATGCCCCACTTCACAAAGACACAAACACAAGGACATTTTTGATTCTTTGTATTAAAGAAGAGATCACCTTTTTTTTTTAACTTCTTTTCTTCTGAAATTGAAACTAAAAAAACTTCACTCTCTTCTTCTTACATTGCGTTCCAAGCAACTTCCACACTTAACAACAACACAATTTTGGTTTTCCTTCTTCTACCAACTATCGAGGAACTCTCTTACGGCTCAGTATTTCTTGTTCCTTGAGACGATGTTGGAATCGAGCAAGCCTGGCTTGAAGACTGACTAGCCCTGCTGCTTTCCGGGACAGTACAAAGCTTAGTTGCGTCACATAGTTTTCTATCATGCTTCCTGGTTGGTCCACCTCCGCTAGAAGTTTCATTTCCTGATATAATGATATAAGAAGAGAAACAAAACTGAATGATGTGATAACATTCTACAATCTTTTATTCATTTAGCTATGTGTTTTACTTACCTCGCGAACAATCTCCATTGTGTCCTCAATTTCTTTTCTGTGTGCTGCAATCAGAGCTTCTTCTTCCTGAAAAAAAGTCATGTGGTGGTTGATAAGATATAAACAGAACTATTGGCATAAGTTTTTACCATTACTTGCAAATCAATTTCACAGCTTCATCTCATGTTTTAAAGGGTTAAGTGAGTATTTTACCTCAAGCAGTGCATCGAGGTTTTCATCAAGCGAAGGGTCGGTGTCATATTGCCTTGAAGCAGTTTCACTTGTGTTCTGTCTAAAATTTGTCAAGGTAGGGATATCCGACGAACTGACATCTCTTTTAGGCCAATTTTGTGGTCTGTCTGGTTTTTCTTCCCGCAACCCTTTCCCACGAGGTGGTGACACTTTCTTCACTTTCTCTTCACGGTCTGAAGTTTCTTGGGGATATGAAGACATGTGGTTCCTCTGACTAGTGGAGCCACCAAAAGAACTATTCGTCTCTGACCTTCCCTTGTCCATTGAGAATGATGGGATTCCACTTTCTTCTCGATAATTTGTAGGCTGTCTGAAGTCAATACCCGATGTAGTAGTGTTGCTGTCCTTCTCGACCACCCTCCTCCTGGTTTCCTGTACATTCACTTCCTGTGGAGGCTCAAAGACATCTTCTACATCATTTGGGCCCAACAAAGCATCCTTATTAACCGGAGGCATTGCATTGGCAGTTTGATCTTTCTTGCTATTTCCACTTTTTGATAGACTTTTGACTCTGTTTATTCCGTACATAACCAACAGCAGGTTAAGAGAAGATGAAATTGAGAATTTGTTTCAAAAGAGGCTATAGGTTGTACAAAACATACCGATCAGCATATCTTAGAGTATTGAGGGTATGTTCACACGATCCTGCATTTGGAGAGATGCAGGAAATCATCACCGTTCTTGAGTTTCCAACAAATGAGTCACGTAGCACTTCCGTTAGTTTGCTTCCACGAAATGGTATATGTAGCTGGTCATTGTCCAGTGCACGTATACATTCCTTAAGAGCCAAGAGACTCTTATTGATTTCTGCGCCTTCAATCCTAAGAAAAATCCACCATGAAAACTATAAAGCGTTAGATCTGGAGTGTGGTGGTCCTAAAGTAAAAAGGAAGCAGCAAAGTGCCACTCCATCAATACCCACAAGTCCAAAAGAGGCATAAATTTTAATCTACGCATTACTGGTAGGTCAAATTCTCAAACTACTCAACCACAGGGGCAAAGAGAATCTTTACCTTGTCTGGCGATCATTGTCGGTGGTGTCTGCACCTCTTTCACTGCCAGCAAGGTCAATGAAAGAAATCTTTCCCACAACTTTCCCAGGCAATTCATTACCATCATTATTCCTCCGTCTAGTGTCTTTTACCTCAACATGCTTTTTTACAACAAGCTGTAGGATGGCATGTGATCTAGAAGATTCCTCATTTGCTCCAGTTGACCCTGTGCTCCTTTCAGCATTTCCTTTCTCGATAAAATCCTTTACAATTTGTACATCTGAAACTTCATATTCTTGCAGGCCAACAATGCAAACTTGCTGTCTACCATCTTCTCGCATGCAAAGTTTCCTACTCGGCAATAACTGAATGATTTAGACAATTGTAAACGTGCATTTGCGATAGTAGTAGGCAACAATGGAAAGTATTGACAATTTGACACTGATAGGATGAAAAAGTGCCAATGTTTACAGTATACTGACATCGAAATAACAATTATAAGCTAGTATATGCCAAAAGAAAAGGAAAACATAAAACCTCTCAAAAAAGATGACATTTAAAAGAAATGAGAAAAAGAAAGAACACTAACTTTCTCTCACTGAGAAGATCGAACAGCTTTCCACCATATATCTCAAAATAGCTGAGCCACAATTTAAACCTCTGATTGCTGTATACTGGTTGACGCAACAACCTCATAAGATCTTCAACTGCTCGTATGGGTAGTGGTTTCATTGTGAATGTCTTACCACTACCTGAGTAAAGAAAAACATCATCAGGGCCATGAAAGCATGAAGAAACTATTGTCATCTAAAAACTGGAATCTTTTAGCAAGAGTAGAGCTATCAGTATATTTTCCAATGAACATTAATCCCATTGCATACCTGTTTGACCATATGCAAAGCATGTAGCTTTAGTTCTCTGGAAAATAATTGGAATTATCGGCTCAATTGTGGCCCGATACACCTGTTCAAGGAAACAACAAACAATTTCAAAGCAGAATAAAGCTTCTGTAAAATTTTAAAAGCTGGATGTATACATTCATCAACCCAATCTGAATTGAAAGGGTGGGGGAAACCACATGCTGATCTAGTTAATAGGTCAATAAGGTATCTCGACCTTGACATTAATCATAAATATATCACAGCTCAAGGTTGCATCATGCACTCCTGCTAGGATTTTCTATGGACTCCAATAAGTTCAATTATTAACTTACCTCGTCATTTGAGACATCCTCATCTAGAACAGCATCAAAGCAGAACTCATGCCTTTCCACATAAGCAGTCAAATCCACCTGCACCAACAAGATTACGGTTCATTCAATATTAGAAAAGAGAATATTAAATGAAAAGAATATATGACCTTTAATAGCAGGATGCCATCGTTCAATTGTTCAACTGAATCATGGATGCCATTGTTATCTTCGATGAAGAATACACACAAACCTTCACTTTGGGCTCATGGACAGTCAAAGAATTATCAGATACCGTCACGACATCCTCCTCCCTCTTAGCTGTTTCTTTCTTGTTTAGGGGTCTTTTCCTTACCTAAAGACAAAACAAAAGTGGTTTTTCAATGATCCCTAGTCATAATGAACGTTGCTTATAAAACAATTAAGTAATAAGGAAACAGGTCAGTGCTCAAGTGAATGACCTACCACTACTTTAATCTTGGCTACACTGTTATTTTCTTTTTCACTCTTAGGCAATAAACCCAAAGGTTCAGCTTCTGTCGGTTGTCGTTGTTGACGATTAGCTGGCAAATTATAGTCTTCTTCAAATTCTTTATTTACACTAGGCATGAAAGGTGACGGCTCAAACGGTTCGGTAATCACATGCTGCAAAATGAAAGGCAAGTCACATATTATAAAAGTTCGTAACTTTCACATGGATAATCGCCTTTTTCAAGAACTAGCAAACGCAACAAGCAGCTTTATTGCCCAGATGCTTTTCTAACGACAACAAGACCAAAACTGTCACATCTCGCTAAATCCTTTCGAGTGTCAAGATCAGAAGTTGCCTACAGAAATCTCGCAGATAGATTACATGCGCAGAAAGCCAATGGATTAGGTGGGACTCAATATGGCAATGTAAGATTGGCAATAACAGTTTGACAACCAGTAGGATGTAACACAAAAACAGACAATCTGATGAAAAAAAATTATGATCTTTCTGTTCTCCATGGGCACTAATGAGTAAATATGAATAGTCTTTGCACTAGTTCTTCTTCCAAACGTACCTCAGATAGAAGCTCTGTATCATCCATTGCATGGAGATCCAATAATCCTGCTCCAAAATCACCTCTGAACTCAGGTGAAAAAAATCCTTCCGAAGAGGGCATAGCTGCTGATGTCTGAGCAGTTGGTGTATATGATTCAGAAGTCGAATCCCCGTTAAAATTGAGATTTCTCATTAGTTTAAACAGTCTTTGTTTCTCTTCAGCGGTCTGTGCTCCATAACCCTAGCAGATACCGCAAACACCACAAAAGAGCCTTCAAATATCAGAACCCCGTACATGCGAATTATAAACAAGAGCCAGCCCAAAAGTTTCTATAGCAAAACAGTTGACCAATCGAAGTAGAAATCACTAATAACCCTGCAACTAACATCTAACTTAATCACATTACATAAATTGCCAAAAACAACTTCCAAGCTCTACTTGAGATACGTTATGACTAATATCCATAACAGAGACAAACAATCCTACATTCCTACCGCATCATTTTTTGTAATCCTACACCATACGTGCGCAGGAATCAGCGAACCAAAGCCCTAACAAAACTTGGCTATCTGAGTCTAATACAAAATTGACATACTTTACCAGCTAAAGTAAACTACATCCGGAAAATTAAAGGGCATGCAAGATATTGAAAGAGTACAGAAACATAGAATCAGAAAAAGCAAGTAACCTGCATGAGAAGGTTTGGGAGATGACGCTGATCATTGCCTGTAGAAGCAACCGGAGACGCCAAATGCTGCAATCCAGCGGATTGAAGCCACCGTGCCATGACTGCATCTCCTGCGTCATTTGTTGGTAAAGCCCCATCATATAGCGCCGTCGCAGCCGCAGCATTGCTTTGCTGCATTTGGCCGCCCATGTGGCGCTGTGATCTTCTTTGAGGAGCCAACTTCGGAGATCTGTAAAACAACTCTTCATCCAAACAAAAACCAGAATCACCCATTTGTTACAAATCGGAATAGAAAACAAAATTCTCAATTCCAAATATAGAATTTTAGATTCAATCGAAGAGAAACTCACAATGTGTGTGGAGAGAATTCGGATTCAACAGAGAACATGAAAGCGGAAATGTACAGCTCCCAACTTTCTTCACTACTTTCGAAATCTGAAATTCGAACCAATCAGAGAATCGGAGAAGAAGATCAATGTTATCTAACGAAAATAGACGGAAGTAATGATTACCAGAAGGAAACGAAGACACGCAACGGTGTTGAATTTAGAGATCTGTGATCTGAGATTTTTCACAATATACAATCAGATCCGACGAGTGAAGAACCCTAAGCGACGCACATCGTTAGGCGTTGGAGATTGAGAGAGAGAGCTTCTGTTCAAAATTTTCGTCTTCTTCTTCCGTAAGCGACGTTAGGCGGAGAGAGATGAGAAAGAGAGGGGCGTTGAAGAAGTTTTGACAAAGTATAAGACAATTAAAAAATAAATTAAAAAGTTTGAGGTGTTTAAACTTTTTTTAAAAAGTGACAGTTATAACACCCTTTAACTTCAGAAACATTCACCGATTTGTCCTACTTTTTAAGAATGTGCAGTCCAGTCCTAAACATTTGAAACAAGTTTACACGATCTTCTATGAACGGTCTTATAGTGTTGGAATATTATTTTTTTGCTGAGATCATGACACAAGGACATATACCAATTACCAACATGGTGACATTAAAATAGAATAGATGTTCTCATCTTGAATCATACGGTATGATTCATACCTTTTTTTGACCATATTGCATAAAACTGATAGGTTTATTATACATGTAATAACTAATGATATAACCTTGGTGGATTGATAAGTTATGTGCATTTTAAGATTTTAGCTACTTTATGGTATTTAAGGATGTTGTTTTCGACTATCTATAGTAGTAGAGAAATGAAATTTGAAACTATCCCGAGGAAAATGACATGGTTTTTTCTCGACATGAAATCCACAACTTTTGGAATTTTAGTACATGATAGTAATTTCATCTTATATCACTATTCTTATTTTATTTTTTTCTATTTCTATTATTCTTCTAAACAAGTACATATTGGTTTCAAATTTTGAATTGTTTAGATGTGCGAATATAAGTGAGTGATTATCAAAAGCTACCAAACTTGTGTATGTAAATGTATATTGTTTAAACTTTAAACCAAAAAAAAAGTGTTAATTCAATAAAATATACGAACAAGAATATGCAAAAGTAGAGAAGTGGGCCAAAAACAGCTTGTGGGTTCCTTTCTTTTGAATCAAAAAGCTTTTGCTTTAGCCTAAAGCATTTCGATCTAAAGGATTCCTGATTTTAAATACTCAGTATAACCAGTATGAAAGTAGCTTTTCCTTAATTTATCCGTTCTAACAACATTAGTCTCTCTAGCTAGTTTTGTGCAGCTTTAGATTATCAACCTCCTTTGTTACGACTACCAAACCACGTGAATATACCTTAAGATGTCGATACTACGTAATAGTATCGACATTGTAATTTGTTAAGAGTGTGATTATAACAAAAGAAAATGTTTAAACAGTGTTAGCTAAAAAGGAAAGGAACAACAAAATATGAAGAAAGTAATAAACTTTGAATACATTAGATACAAGAGAGTTGGAGCAACGTCAAACCGACCAAGACCAAATCACGTTTCCTTTTACGTGAGACACAATACGTACCAACGCATTTTGGTTGTCCTTTCATCCACACATGTACATAAATACTTAAAAATATATGTTGAGCATTTCACGCAGCTTAAACACTTTCTTTTTATGTTATGTAGTAGCAAATATTTCTCAATTCTCGTAGAACCTTTATTTTGAATAATAATAAACTAACGAATGGTTAAATTTAAGAAGAGTGTCTAAGGTGAATTGGACAGTGGTTTGTCAAAGTTAAACAACACATACAGTTTATAATTACGACCGCACTGTGATTTTTGTCCAACAGGACAGAACTCAAATAGTTAATATAGATTCCGCACGTGAGATGAAATTCCTAAAAGCAGACATAAGTGGAGGGATAAACATGCCTATGATGATGTCTCAAACGGATCATTCTAGAGCATATTCCACGCAAGACCGAATAATTAAAGTTACGGATTTTTATTCACATCCATAAGATCTTAATCTAAATTTATTTGACTTTATAAAATGCCTCGAGATTCGGGATAAGTTTAGTAGTAACCAACCCTTAAATTAGAAAAGCAAAATAGAGAGATATCACACCAAAGTAACGACCAAAATTCAACTAATAGAAACTGAGTGTTCGGATTCAATAACTTAAAGACTTCCAATACAGGAGAGAAGAAGAGAGAAAAGCAAACTGGTAGGTAATTTTAATAGGGGACGACGACGAAACACAAGACGATATAAAAAAACATAAACTTAGAGAGTCGCTGCGACAGACCACAGTAACCCAACGAGAGCTTCTCCCTCAGCACTTGACCTCCTTCAAACCATGTGCGAAGTACAAAAATGTTGGGTTAGTTGCACCCTCCTTGTAGTAAGCAAAGACCAAAGTGCTGTCATCATGCATCCCCTCCCCAACAAAGCTGTTATTGTACCAGACAACACAATCATTAATGAGATTTCAGATGACATATGCATGATGATAGGTTGAGGAAACTTACAATTGGAAGTCACTGAGCCTGGGGAGCAAGAACTTAGTCGCTCCCTCAATACCCTTCTTGAAGACTGCTTGATCTTCTTCACTGAGCTTGGGTGTCAAAAGCTTGATGTATTTCTTAATATAAGCGATGAATCCCTTCTTGTCATAAGTTGGTTGCTCCTGAAGTCTGAAGGTGTCGACAATGTCAACAACCTTAACAGCAGAGTCATCAACACCCTCATCCTCACCACCTTCTTCAGCAGATGGATTGGCACCAATGTTAACATCTACAGCTCCCAAGGTAGTCCACTATACAACAAAACCAAAACCCAATGAGATTATGACAAAAAAAAAAACCAAAATCTCACAAATTCAGAACAAAACTTGCATCTTATGCATGGAATTAGGATTGATGGCACTGACCTTTCCTTCGACTTCCCAAAGAATTCCATTCTCAATCTCCTTGTAAGGGAAAGAGTCAGACAGAAGCTCATCACCTGAAATCAATACCCCACAATCTTCAGTCATATTGAGCTCAATCTAATCCCCATAAGATCCCAAATATAAACAAATACGAGCTGAACCAAATCCAGTGACTCTAAAATTCAGATTATTAGCCAAAACTTCATCAAATCAATACTAGTTAAGCATCTAAACAATCGAAAAAACCCTAAAATCCAATCTACAACGAAACAGTAAGCTCAATTAATAAATCAATCTCAGATCTAACCAAATCACAGAAACTAATCCCCTAAGATTAGAATTATCAATGCAAAGAGCTGCAAATCAACGAAAAACCTCAGATGCGATCACAGATCTAAACGAAATTTCAAATTCGATATCACTATTATCCCGATCAAAGATATAGATCGATAGCTACACAATTATTAACAAGAGATTAAACAATTATTGAGTATACCGGTGAGAAGATCTGTGTACACCAACATGGTCGCTTATTTGTTTTATCTCTCTCTCCGATGGATGCGAATTAGCGAAAATTGAAGGTTGCGGGAGAGAGACGCAGCGACGAGAGGGGACTAAAATAAGGTCCTAACTTTGGTATTTATAGTCAAAAACTATAGCGTAGGGTTTCGCTGGAGTTGCAAACACAGGAGATAAAATTCCCGGTAAATTTACAATTTTGGGCTTTTCCTTTTTCTAATTTTCTATTTTACCCTTTCCTTTTTTTAATAGTTGAAAAAAAGGAAATAAATATTAACCGACCCAAACGCTTAATGAGCCGGGTTTGGGCCAACGGGTGGGGATGTTGATAAATTCCATATATATAACGGTCGGGTCGGATAAAATCCTATTTCCCTCTCTTCTCTCCGTCTCTTTCGTTCTGATTCTGATTGTTCGTGTAAAACCCTAGATGACGATGGTAAGTTTGAGCACGGAGGTCGAAACTCAGTCACTGAAAAAACTCAGTCTCAAATCTGTTACTCGAGCTCGTGAACTTTTCTCCCCCGTCCATGGCCAATTTCCTCCGCTTGATCCTGAAAGGTTAATCACCAGTTTCGCTTGCAATGTCCACTTGTTTTCTCGAAATATTTCAGAATTTTTATGTGTATTGACGATTTTTCTTCTTCTTCTTCTCTGTTTTTGTTCTTTCGCAGCAAAAGAATTCGGCTCTGCCATAAGGTAAGGGTTTTTTCGAGTTTTTTTTAATTTATCTTTGATTCTGTTGAAAAATTTTGTTCGCTTCTTCGTTTGCTTTGATTTTGATAATCGATAGCGTTGTAGCAAGTTTCTGAGACGTTAAAACTGAGAGATGAGATCTGTTCATGTATGCTTTAGCTCTCAAACTTGAGGTTTTTATAAAGTGTAAATCGATCAGTCAACATTTTTTCTGTCTTATTACCTATGATCCTGGCGTTAGATTCTTTTCATCAGCTACGATTGTTTGAGCTTGCGTGATCTCTAGCCTATTACCCTCATCTTTATAGTAAGAATGTTGAATTTGCATGAACTTTTGTGTTTTGGTGAACATCAAGTAGGATGTTGTTTTAATGACTTGGAAGTATCTTTGTGTAGATTCAAGTTGCATTTGGAGGCGTAGAACCCGCAAGTAAGCCTACATGCCGTGCTGACCATAACAGTGAAAAGACGGCTCCATCGAATGCCCTTGCCCTTCCAGGTAGTTCTTTTATCTGTTTTCCCTGTTGTGGTTCGAAACTAGTTTCCTATTTTCTAGTTTTCCTGACATTCCTTTCCCTTATGTTTACCACATCTATTTATCTTAGTTGTGAGCTTTATTCATGTCTATAATTAGGATTGAAAAACAAGTTTCAGTAATATATCCTCTTAGAGTACCTTTTGAAACAAACTTCTGCTGCAATAAAAAACGCTGTTAGTGTTATCTTGTAGGCTTGTAGCCTCTTTCACTATTGTTATTTCTTGTTCTGAAAGACCAAATTATTTGCTCTGCAGGTCCAGAAGGTTCCAAGGAACTTCGAAAAGGCACAACAGAGAAAGCTTTAGTTGTTGGTCCAACTTTACCGTCAAGAGACTTGTGAGTATACCTTTTCCTTTGGAATGTGACTATTCCATATAGTTAGTATAAATAATTTTTGACATTCTCAAGAATGTTATTGCTGTTCTGTCTTTGTGATTGATTCTCTACTTATCGTGCTGATGCTGATAATTATTGATTCTTGAATTGAAGGAACAATACTGGTAATCCAGGCAAAAGCACGGCCATTCTTCCTGCATCTGGATCCTTTTCTGAAAGGTTTTGTGTTCCATCCTTTTCTTCTTTTGTGGGCTCTCTATAATGACACTATATCTAGGTTGCGATACCTAGGTGGTATATAAAACCACGATGAGGTGGATATTGGTTGTTCATAGTCATGAATTTAAATTTGGCCATATTTATTTAACCTGAAATGACTCTAGCTTGTATCAATGCTGCAGTTTTCATTATTTTTCCATCTTTGCCCCTCTATGTGTTACAGAAATCTGTCAACTGCTGCTTTAATGGAGAGAATGCCTAGTAGATGGCCCCGTCCAGAGTGGCATGCACCATGGAAGAATTACAGGGTAAGATCTGTGTTACGGTAACATTTCTGCATCTTATTGATATAACATTTAAGCGAAGCATGTAGGTAGTCTTGGCGTACAGAGGTTACTTAATGTTCTTATTGAATTGATGCATTTTTTTGGCTAACAGGTGATCCAGGGACACTTGGGTTGGGTCAGATCTGTTGCGTTTGACCCAAGTAATGAATGGTTTTGCACTGGTTCAGCTGATCGTACCATCAAGGTAACTGAGGAAATCTAATTCAACGCCTTTTTTTTTTCCATTCTTCATGCAACATTTACCTATATCTCATGAATTACTCTTGCTGAAATTGCTTCTGTGGCTCTTGTTCACTAGATATGGGATGTAGCGACCGGAGTTCTGAAACTCACACTTACTGGACATATAGGGCAAGTACGAGGTTAGACTAATATTTTCTTCCTCTCAGTTTGTTAGTTTATCAATAGCTCTTGTAGAAAAGTACCAGTGTACAAGTTTCAACTCTAAATCTGTATAATTATTGTTTCACAGGCCTCGCTGTAAGCAATAGACATACCTATATGTTTTCTGCTGGTGATGACAAGCAAGTCAAATGCTGGGACCTTGAGCAGAATAAGGTTAGAACTCGATGATGGATTTCATCTCATCTGTAAATTAATTACTCTTCTCCTGATCTGAACTTCTCATGTCCAATTTTTTTGGAATTTGTCTTTGATAGGTTATTCGATCTTATCATGGTCATCTGCATGGCGTTTACTGTTTAGCTCTTCATCCAACGCTAGATGTTATACTAACCGGAGGGCGAGACTCTGTCTGCAGGGTATGAAAATCACTCAGAGATGTATCCTGTGGTTATAAACATATGTATTTTTGATGTTTGAGTTTGCTGACTATTGTCAAAAATCCTTTTCTGCGTATAGGTATGGGATATCCGTACGAAGATGCAAATTTTTGTACTCCCACATAACGCAGATGTTTTTTTCCGTTTTAGCCCGTCCAACTGTACGCCACATTTCATCTTCTCTTTATTCTATCACTTAATGTCCGTGTTGTACTTGTGGCGAAGAAGCGCACACCGCTATTTTATGCTTCTATAGTTGTATGCCTTTCTTTCAATAACTTTGGAACTTACTGTCTCTATGATGTTGCAGGATCCACAAGTTATTACAGGGTCTCATGACTCAACCATCAAATTTTGGGATCTCCGATTTGGTACAGTTAACATTTAACAATCTCTTTGACTTTTGCTTTTCTTTCTTCCCCAGCTTTTCATTATATGGAGGGTTGGGCTAACGAATATATTATAAACAGGCAAATCGATGCTAGATATAACGAATCATAAGAAGACTGTCCGAGCAATGGCTCTCCATCCGAAAGAGTAATTGTCTTGCTTTTTCAACCTTAGAGTTTTGCATGATAATGCACCCTGTTTTAATCTCTCTTTCTGTTTTGTTCAGGAATGCTTTTGTTTCTGCATCAGCTGACAATATCAAGAAGTTTAGCCTTCCTAAGGGAGAGTTTTGCCACAACATGCTGTAAGTTCTGGAGTCCTTGTAGTTATTTGAGTCTAATCCACTCTCTTACATCTTCCAGTGCAATGAAAAAGATAGTGTTCCTCAAATAAAGTGGAAATTCTAGTTTTCTGATGTGTTATCATGTTATCTTTCTTTTTTGGAGCAGTTCTCTGCAGAGAGACACAATTAACGCAGTGGCTGTGAACGAGGATGGCGTAATGGCCACTGGAGGTATTAATTCATTTCAAAATCACTTTCTTTGATCGTTACGGGGGAAACACTGATACTTGTATTCACCTTTCCTTCACATATTATATACCCAATTTCATTATTTGAACTAAAATGTCCCTGTCTTTGTTCAACTGAAGGTGATAAAGGTGGCTTATGGTTCTGGGACTGGAAGAGTGGTCACAATTTCCAACAGGCAGAAACTATTGTACAGCCTGGTATGTCCTCAACCTATTTCGTGATCCTTTACTTTTGCGTTACTTATATGGTTAAAATATTTAAGTCTTAGAGGTTTATGATTAGTAGTTCTAAGGAAGCTCTCAATTTTCATGAAGTGATAGAGTTTTTTACGCTCTAGAATTTGCTGCAAGTAGTAATTGTGTCTTATCTCATTTACATGGTTAGGTTCGCTGGAGAGTGAAGCCGGTATATATGCAGCGTGTTACGATAGGACGGGTTCAAGGCTGGTAACGTGTGAGGCAGACAAAACAATAAAGATGTGGAAGGAAGACGAGAATGCAACTCCTGAAACTCATCCTCTCAACTTCAAACCTCCCAAAGAGATCAGACGCTTCTGAGGTTTCTCTCTCTTACAAGTTACACCTCTCTAATCTCAAACTCGAAGTCAGAGAAAAAAAAACCACTAATTTCACCAAAATCTGTTTCTGGATTAAAAAAAAAAAACCTTGTTTATGTGATATATTTTTACCAGTTCTTCTTCAAGATAGAGAAGGGAAAAAAACAGCATTGTAGTTTCTTGGTGACTAATTGTAGTTTTACATGAGTGTAGCCATTATTTTCGGAAGGGTTTTGGAATTCATTTGGTTTTATTTGGAACAATTCAGTCAAAACCAATCTTTCTAACGATGATTGGTCTGACGCTAAATCTCTTACTAAAATCACTAGTGGCCATGACGATCCAAAGTCTTCTCCAATAGCCAACAAAACCAAAATTCAACATGCAAATAAAATATTATATACAAGAATAACAATATTAAGCATGACATGAACTCAACAATATGCCAAAACATCTACTGTGTTTGTGGTGTTTGTCAAACGATTATTGAGCAATTACCGTTACCAAGAGGCCAACTTGATCGCAATGCGACTAATCGGGTTGTAGATGCATCTTTTACTGGTCCCCGTGGAGTTTAGTAGAATTTCATTCATAAGATACATTCACATTTACGTATGAGATAATTCTTTGTTATAGCTATAAAAATGAGCGATCCATCTTAAAGCTGAAAATTTAAAATACGTTCCATGGACCAATCTATAACACAAGATGGGTGGTGGATTTTCCCTTATCTCCTTATATCAAGAGTCTACTTGTGTATAAGTTTGATTTGTTTATATATAATAAAATACTTAAGGAGGAAAAAATGAGCCAAATCTATAGGAGAGCCCCCTATGATCTGGAGTTTAAGAGTTAAGACCACTCAATAATGCAAATTGTCGGATTTGGACTATGGAAATATTGATCTCACCATATCTTTTTATTGACCCAAAATTTTAGGATACATTCAAAGACAAAAGTGTAGTCCAATATTTTGTCTTTCTTTCTTGATATGTCTCTTTACCTTGCGAGTTCGGTCTCTTGACCAATCCTTTTTTTTGTAAACTACGTTCTTTAGCTTTTGATATTAGAAACTCAAGTTTTTTTCGTTAAAATTATGTTGATCAATTTAATTAATAGTCAAAATTATGTTCTTTCTTCTCTTAAAACTTACTATAAACCCCCCCAAAAACACAGTAAGAAAATATTTCATTCCATAACTCAAGTTTTATTTGGTGAACTGAAACATTATGGAAGGCGCAAGTTGTTTTACTAAATTTAATTTTTTCTAATGATACGAATTTTCTGTGTGCTAATTATTATAAAGAGGGAATATATTATATTCGTTATTGATCACACCCTGTTACCTTTGTGTGACAACATATATTGGGAATATCTAAATACATACTCGTTGAGTTCTCGATTATCACCACATCATGCATACACTTACCGGTGCAGTTTGAAATTGCAAAGATTATGGCTTACCGAGAATAGCAATTGAACGCATGAGATGATGTATAGTATATAGTACACATCGGTTTTTATTAATACTCATCTAATCTTGGGATATGTACGTCTTCAAAACGTTTGCAGGGATACTCGTGGATAAATTATAGAATGTCTAGGAAAGAATCATACACAGTTGAAACTACATTTTAGGATCCGTGTTTTACGATCAAACCTAGGGACGATTTAAATTGTATAATAAAGTAAACGTATCATTAGCGATTTTAAATATAAAGGGGCAAAATAAATAGGAGGGGCGAGATCTATAAAAATTGTTCTATAAATAGAGCTGCATGGGGAAGACACTTTATCACATCCAAAACCAAAAGCAACACAAACACACACCAAAAAAAAAAAACATTTAATTTACTTCTTACGCAATAGTTTCATCTAAAATTTTCTATAGTAACACTATAAACAAGGCAATGTTAAAGAACAAACACATGACCGTCTCATTGATCTTGGTGTGTCTCATTGTGGTGTCTCCAATGGCTGAGGCTCAGCTTGGTCTTGGTGGTAGTGGTGGTCTTGGTGGTCTTGTTGGGGGTCTTGGTGGTCTTGTTGGGGGTCTCGGTGGTCTTGTTGGGGGTCTTGTTGGTGGAATTCTCAATCTCGTCAATATCAATGGGGTTCTCTTTTGCTCTCTCAATGGTGCTCCCAATGGCACTTCCACTCCTGCTTTCGCTAGTAAGCTTTCCATTCTTCTACTTTCACCTTTGATCATTTAATCATGCAAAACCGGCCCAACAAAAATTTGCTTTGGTTCTGTTAACTAGGGTTTTGTTGTAGATTATGTATCAGATATACAATCATACAAATGATATCATTAAAAAAAGGTTTTATTGTAAATGTTTTGTTACCTCATATAAGTTTACCACAAATGATGAACTGATTTTACGAACTTATAACTTTATATCACATGCATGATACATATATATTTACTAATCCTATATACTGCAAATTAAATTAACAGATGCAGGAGTTCAGCTCCAGTGCGGAAGGCAAAACACAGTCGTCTCAACAGCAACCACGAACGCTGCCGGATTATTCACGCTTCCAACAGACACAATTCAGATGTTACTTTCCACACTCCTCTCTGATTGTCGGGTCGTCGTCACGACCCCTCTCTCCACCTGCAACGCCAACCTCCCTTCCGTTGGCAACCTCGTCTCACGGTTATCCATGATCGGGAACAGCCTCACTGGCCTCCTCAACATCATCAGTATCATCCCTGCCGGCTTTGGTCTCCTTACCTGATTCCAAACTATATATTATACTCTATGTTCGGTTACAGTGTCAGTGTGTTTCCCTTTTGTTATATGTTTTGTATCATGGCCATTTACTGATTTACGTTTGTTTGCGTATGCATGAATAAGGTCTATATTGGGTTTATGTCTCAACCTTCAAAGTCTTCTGTTGTAACTTTTTTTTTCCAGGTTTTACATTTATAATGCTTTTGTGAAATGATACAAACAATTTCTCTTTTCAAATAACTAAAACTATATAATTTGTAAACTAGTAAAAGGTAACTGCAATTATAACGACCAATAGAGCATGTCCATATATAACCGGAAGAAAAAAAAATTAAAAACTCAAAATACAACGATTCCTTAAACTTTTCAAATTTAAAAGACGAACTTGAAACAAATTCAAACTTTAGGGGTCTACCAACTGTCCGCGGTTAATTTTTGGGAATTGATCTCAAAGTCCAACATCGTCGATCGGCTGAATTCAGGACTATATAAAGTCTATAATAAATCTTCTTGTGTAGCAGAGCAGTAACAAGAATCCTAATCTTCCCCACAGTGATCTTCCATCTTCAGACAAAAGTGACCATTACATAGAGGAAATGGGGAAGGAAAGAGCTTGGACCTGTTTTACAAGTTTTTAGATGTCTGTTGTTTCCTCTGAGCAAGAAACATTGGGTTTTAAACTGTCCAAGTTTGGAAATCGGATGCTTCCATGGTGGCTGTTTTTTCCATTCTTCTTCCTAATTCCTTTGTCTTGAAGACCCACCTTTGGCTTGATTTGGATATATAAATATAAGAATTCATTTGACAAAATTTTAGATACATGCAATATTCAAAATGGTGAGTGCGTATGCTTGGTATTTAATTGAAACAAACATGTTAACATGTTGATAAAAAGAATTTTGAAACAAACAAACAACAAAAATTCAAAAGTATGCAACACCTAGCTAGTTGTAAGAAAGCTTATTGGGCTAGTTAGGAATGTAAAATTTCCTTGAGCCCAAAAAGATTTGTTTGACTGATACAATGTAAAAGGTAGGGTCCAAAGAAAATGAGACTACATGAGTAGAGAGATCTGATTTGGGCCAATTATGGGACTATCAAGAGATTGTGACAAATATTGTTTTAATCACCGAATGTCGCAATGTAATCTGTTTCAAAATCTATGATTTCAAGTGAACAAATTGTACTTATGTTAATCATGATGACTCGAAAAAGTACTAAACATCATCCATGGAATATCCACGAGTATAGTATAATTGACTCTACTTGCTATTTAGTGGTTAATCTGAAATAGCAAGAGGATTGTCCCTGGCTCTGGCTAGTCCTTTTTTATACATAAAATGTCTGGTAGTATATACATAAATACTCTGCTAATACACATACTCCATGTTTTTAGTCTGTTTCCACCAAAATTTCATCAACTCCACTACAATTCAGCCAACTTAATATCACCATTTATTTCAAAGATAATATGACTATGTGGCTATCATTTTATTTAAGGAGCCCTATTTTCCAAATAATTGAGACACTAATCACTGTGATTTCGTTGTATGTCTAAGCCTGTAAGTATTTGGACAGCACTATAGTTTATATTTGGTCCATTTGGATCGTAACCGCGAGGCATATAGTATTGACTGTTTTTCTTATCTGTGGTGAATTTCAGTTTTTATGTAATTAAACTTTGGAACGTATGTGTAGGCTTCCAAAAGGATCCAAGTGAACGATCCAGTCGCAATATACTTTTGACAATTGATTAAAACTACAAGAGACCATGAAGATCGAAATTACTCTTCTCCAATAACCAAAGCAAACGCCTATAAAATACCCTGCAAAATTCAACAAAAGTAGAAGGAAAATAAGATTAATAAGAATGAATAACTTAAGTAAGGATGACATGAATTCAACAATGCCAACACGTCTGCTTCTAAATTTCACAGAAATCTTAATCTGATCTCACAACCATAAGCGAAAACGAGTTCAGAAATATACAATTTTTACCATTTACTTGAGTTTCTAAGTTACTACTATTAATTAGTAAACTTCCGAGAAGTTTTCTTAGGATTTGTAATGTCCATCAAAAGATTATTGCGAAAGTACAGTTACCTATAGGGCAACTTGATCGAGATACGACTAATATATACAACTTGATCAAAGTGGAATAATATAAAAAGATACCATGGACCAATCTGTTACATAAGATGGCATGTGGCTTTTCTCTGTATCAAGGGTCTACTTGTTTAAGGTTGATTTGTTTTATATATAAGAAAATAAATAAGGAGGAAAAAGGGAATCAAAACTATAGGAGAGCCCCTCCCACTCACCCACCCACTAAGATTTAAGGTTTAAGAGTTAAGAGCACAAAATGATGCAAATGGTTGGGTTTGGACTTTGGAGTATTGGATTCACTGTATATTTTTCTTGAACCAAAACTTTTAAAATGCATTTGAAGATAAAATTATAGTCCAATATCACGTCTTTCTTTCTCAGGTGGTCTCTTTAACCACCTTGTGTCTTGCGGGTTCGAGCTTTTTATATATCTTTCCATCAAACAAATTTCTTTAAGATTTAACTTCAAAAATATTTATCACTCTACTCTGTTTTTTTAGCATTTGTTATTAATAATAAATAGCACTGAAACGGATATATATAAAAAATTTGGAAGACATAAGTTGTTTTCCTAATATAATTGTCTTCAATGATGTAAACTATATATAATGTATAGGTGAAAATAACATAAAACAGAATGTTTGTACACCACTGAAATTACATTATAGGATCCGGGTTCACTACTAAAACCCTATGGACGTTTTCACTTAAGTATATAAAAAAATAAAGTGTATAAAAAAGTAAACGAATCATCTAAATATATAACTAGAGCAAAGTAAATAGGAGGGGAGAGATCTAAAAAACTTGTTCTATAAATAGAGCTGCATAAGGCAGTACTTTATCACATCCAAACCCAAAGCAACACAAACAAATATTTGCTCTCTACTCTATAGTTTCATATATATACAAGTAATCCAAAAAAGATGGCAATTATCAAGAACAAACACATAACCTTCTCATTGGTCTTGTTGTGTCTCATTGTGGTGTCTCCAATGGCTAACGCTCAGATTGGTGGTATCAATGTCCCCATTATCAATGGGGTTCTCTTTTGCACTATCAATGGCGCCCCTCTCAATGGCACTTCTGCCCCAGCTTTCGCTAGTAAGTTGTCCATTTTAACCTATACTATATATACTTCTTATATATATACGGACTAATATAAAGATTTACGAAATTATATTTATCTTAAAGACGAATATCCAAAAATATAATGTATATGATCTCTTTGTTGACATACTAATCTAATGGTGCAAACTAACAGATGCGGTCGTCCAGCTCCAGTGTGGAAGCCAAAACTCAGTCGTAGCAGAGACGATTACGAGCATTACCGGATTATTTACGTTTTCTACAAACGGAATTCAGATATCGCTTCCCACACTCCTCAACGACTGTCGTATCGTTGTCCCAACCCCTCGCTCCAGCTGCAACTCCACCCTCCCTTCCACCGGACAACTCATCTCCCAGTTAAACCTCGTCGGCAGCCTCATCTCCGGCCTCCTCAACATAGTCGCTATCCTCCCAACCGGTTTTGTCCCCACAGTCTAACTAAAACCAAACTATAAACATAATTAATGTTCGGTTACAGTGTGTTCCCCTTCTGTCATGACCATTTACGTTTGTTTACGCATGAATAAGGTCAAGTTTATGTCTCTGTCTTTAAAATAAAGCTCTTGTAACTTCTGTTTCCAGGGTCTTGCATGCATATGTATAATGCTGTAATGAAATGTAACAAATAATTTCCCTTTCTATATATCCCTATCGTCGAATATATATATTTACATCTGCATATATATAGTATCATCAAATGAATGATTGGGTGAGTGGGCATGACAATATGGTTCCTTTAAGTTTTATGATTTAGCTCTCAAAGATTGCCTTGTACAGTTGTACCGTTTCTAGCTTGCCGTCTGTTTTTTTCAAGTTTTGTAAAACAACTGCTTTTTCTCTAAATTAAATAATTAATGCATCAATCTTTTGCCAAAGAAAAATTCTCTTAAGTTTGCATGGTTATTACTTATTTGTAAATAGATTAGCTCACTAACTAAAACTATGTATATTACTAGCTCATATATCTTGTCTTATTTCTATTTTCTCGAAACTCGAAAGTCGAAACCCCATCGATCTAGCCATGAGCTGCAGGTTGTCTCGGAGAGAAAAGGTTTGCTAGGCCATGATGAGGCTGGGAATTAATCATCGTAATTAATCCCAAAGTAGAACGATGATAATTTTTTATTTATTAACTTTTTTGCACGTTTTAAAAGTTCTTGGGAGGACCAAATTGAAACAGATACAAACTTTAGGAACGAAATTTTCAAAAAAAATCTTTGAGACCAATTCAAATTCTGAAGATTTGGTTTGAGTTGAAAATCTTTTTTAAAAATTGACATTTAATTGGATTTCTGACGCGTCGAATCTGGATTAATTTGACACATCCAGTTTCGTACTTGCCTTTTATTTTTCTTTTTGGCATCGAATTTATAAATATTATGATTAGGAAGAAAAAATAAGGGCATGTTTCCAATTAATTAGTTAGACTTCAAACCGACATTAACTTTAAAAAAAAAAAATGCTATAAGTATGCTTAGGGTTTCGCAGCCGCTTTAAAGACATCCCTTTCTCCTTTGCTATTTTGCGTATTTCGTACGGGCTTCTCTCCTCTCTATTAACAGTACTAATCCCCTCACTTTTATGGATTTTAATCTCCTTGTTGTTTCTGTAAATTACGAGTCAATTACCGACTCTTCCTTGTTTATTAATTACCCTATATATTAGTGTGTTGGGAATAATTAATCTGCTAAACATGTAGATATTAATTTGATTTTCTCTTTTGCTGTATTTATGAAAGCTTTACGTTTTTTATTTAATAGCTGAACTGCTTATTGACAGTAATTAACAAAGCAGTGTAAATATGGCGCTAACGGACGGAGAGATCAAACAACTGTTCCTAGTCCAGAAGACATTGATGCAGATGCTGAAGGATCGTGGCTACTCTATCGAGGATTCGGAAATTACAATGACTCTAGGAGAGTTTATTGAGAAATATGGTGAAAATATGAAAAGGAAGGCTCTTGTTACTCTCAAAGCTAAGAAAAATGATGACAATGATAAGGTATGTATAAGTATAATGTCTCTCATTGTCTTTATACATACAAGAAACTGTGGATTATACAATTTGGTTTATTGGCATTTGCATAGAATAAAACTGCAAAAACAGCATAATTTCGTGTGTTTGATTTTGTCTTGTGTTGTTGTATAGCTCTATATTTTCTTCCCTAATAAACCCAAAGTTGGAGTTGCGGAGATGAAGAAGTATATAAACCGGTTGAAATCTGAAAACGTTTTCAGAGCAATTTTGGTGATGCAAGATATAAAAGAATTTTCTCGCCAGGCTCAGCTTTCTATAGGTGCAGCCTATCCAAAATTTCATATTGAAGTTTTTCAGGTAATTAAAAAAAAAAAAAAACACTTTAGATTTTTGTTCTCTTGATCATCACAAACTCCTAAACCATGATTGTGTACGGTTGGTTCAGGAGAAGGAATTGATAGTGAACGTTAACCACCATGTTTTTGTTCCTGAGCATCAAGCTCTTACTACTGAAGAGAAGCAAAATTTTCTGGAGAGATACACAGTGAAAGAGAACCAGGTTTGTAGTTTTTTTTTCTATTTTCACATAGAAATAATCTTTGTTATTAGTCTTGTGTGATTTAAAGTTTGGAACTTGTGGGTGTTGCTTAGCTTCCAAGGATTCACGTGACTGATCCAATTGCAAGATACTTTGGACTAAAACGTGGCGAAGTCGTCAAGATCACACGTCAGAGTGAAACCTCTGGTCGTTATATTACGTATCGCTATGTTATATAACCAAAACACTGGCAATGATTTATTTATTTATTTGGTTACTTGAAACAAACATGTAAAAGATAAGGTCCAACGAGTCTACAAAGATTACGTGTTTGCTAATTAAAAATTCCTACTTGGTTGCATGAATAGAATCTTTATTTTCTGTTAAATAGCTGATTTGGGCCAATAATGGGCCATATATCTCGATTAAGAAGAAATAGATTGTGTGATCAATAAATCATATATATAAAAGTTGGCCAACTCTCTCCATATGAGTGCCACATCATCACACAAGAAGATGATATGTGTCATTCAACATTATTTAAATTAAAAAATCATCAAAATTAATTGAGGGAAAATCAAAAGTCTTCTATTGTGTTAAATCTTCCATTAATCATATTTCTAAATGATTTTCAAAACAAAAATAAAATTATAAAATTATTTTAATAAATCAAACAAATCCATTTCTCTTATATGGTTATATGCAATAGCATAAAGGCCATGAATGTTTGAGAGATTTTAGAGGATTTTTAGATTTTAGATTTTAGATTTTGTTTTTGGTTTTTGGATTATGTAAAAATAAAAAGAAAACAAATAGAAAATTGATAAAAAAAAATCTAGGAATTCTCAAAAACCTATTGAAATGAGATTTTGGATTTTGTTAAGAAATTAGTAAAAACTCTTAGAATCTAGATTCCCTATTTTTTAGGAAAACCAATTTTCTCAAAATCTTGAATGGCTAAAAAATGGATTCTTGGAAAAACTAAAACCAAAAACCATTTGAAAAACCATTACCATTCAAGGCCAAAATCTAAAAGTGTTATTTAAATAATTATTTAATTTTTGCTTTTTTTTTTTCCTTTTTTCATACGAAAACTCTTGAGATCGAAATATCCTATATTTGTGTTGTGTGTAGTCATGATAGTGAACGAATATTAGAATCTTATATATAAAAAATCAAATTATACATGAAAATGTATAAATTAATATTTAAAGTCAAAAACGAATGTAACCATAAAAATTGTAAATACGTAAGATGAGTCTAATTTATTAACTATACAATAACAAAAAACAAATAAACATAAATTAGCGTCAAAAACAATTAACATATCTATCTTAACAATTTTCAAAACAAACCCACGCGTAGCGTGGGAATTCATCTAGTAATCATTGAATATTGGTTGCATTGTAAACTTAAACTGTTTCAAACATACATCCAAGGAAAAAAAAAAGAGAGAAGATTTTGTTAATAGGACACCATCAAAACGAATTACTCAACCCAAAAAAAAGAATCGAAATTTTATTTTGTTTGTAAAGAATTGAATTTTTTTTTGTAATTCATTTTAGTTATTTTTATAGATAAAAGATGAAGTTACGCGAGGAGAGGTTGATTTGGTATGAGGCCTTCTTCATCTTCTACATTTGGTTGGACATTTCTGTAATAGGCATAAATTAGGAGTTGCATTGTCCCAAGCAAGAACCCCATTCCATTTGGCACCTACACACACAAATTAATACAAATTCGTTTAACTATTATGATAATAGAAAAAGTTTCTCTTTCCTATTTATACCAAAATGATACTTACTAGTAGAAAAACATCGTGTAGGAGGAAAGCGTAGACACCCCAAATCGCACCGTTTAGGAAAAGGAAAAACGACAACCAAAACGGCATAAACTGTACACTCCTCGTTGTCACAACCGTTTTCTGATCGGATCAATGATCAAATCATTTTAGATTAAACACTTATACATCGAAATGACCGTCTACATTGATATATTTGGTTAAAAATGTGCTGAAAAAAACACTCTCCATTCAATTTCTGCCTCTTTTAATGGTGGTTGGTTTGATTATTGCTGAAAGGAAATATAACATTTATAATATACAACAGCCCAAGACAGGTCCTTGGGTAGCCTAATGAAGCAACAGCCTTGGGCCCTCAGGTTAAATACAAAACCTATAGGCTCATTAGAAGTTTAGTCGTTTAGTATGCAATAATTATGTCCCCAAAATCTAAAATTATATCGAAAAGTTTATATGTTTATGGTCAAGTAGATTATTAGCAAATTAAATCAAATTCTCTTATATCATAAGAAAGAAAAATAGCTATAAAATTTTCTTAAAAACTATTTTAAATTTCGTTTTAGCCTCTTAAAAACTCATTATCGGCCCTACGACAACAACGAAACTTTTGAAAACAAAGTAGAGTTATTGTTAGCCTATATTATTGTCCCTTGTAGCAAGTGTATATAATATAGTGTGATAAAGAGAAAGAAGAGAGACTTACAATAGCTGAAAGAGGAGAACCATACATGACGATGTTGAGAGTAGCACATATGAAACCCATTGAACTCGAACGCCTGTTTTCATCTTCAAACGCAGTTCTTGTTCCCACAATCGCCAAAACTGGGAAACACACGTTCAAAGCTAGAACCACTACAATTGTTTTCAACTGAAAAAATAGAATTATAATTAAGAAATCAATTAGTTACAAATTAAACGCGTTCAAGTGGACCATATACATATATCCTAGTTTGATTTAATATCATATAGCAAGTAGACATAATTTAAACCAACTTATTGATTAAACGTCATAATTAAAATCTGCTAATCAGATCTGAATCTGAGTCACACCAATGTTATCTGTAATGATCTGTCCATCAATTAAAAATGCATATTCAAACAAATTTTTATATCATATCATATAAAAAAACACAAAATGCAAAAACTGAACCTAACTTAAAATAGGAATTTAGGTGGAAAGAAAACGTACGAATCTGGGTTTGGGGACAAAGAAGAGGAAAATGAGAACATAAATGGATTCAGCAAGAGCACCAAAGCCATTGACCGTAGAAACCAAGTATTCACCAGGTGTCACTATTCCGTAATATGTCCATAACGACGAGCTCATCAACGTGCAAATGTACGGCAAACACTCATACTCCTCCGTCGATCTCCGTTGCACTATCCTCCAAAACGTCTCCCTAATTATCATTTTAATGTTTTAACTTAATTTGTCCATTTCCTATAGTTCAATCAATTGTTATAGATATTAATCAAAATCATATAGAACGAGAGAGACTGAGAGAGAGATATAACTCACACAGGGGAGAGGAAGACAAGCACCGATATCACATTTCCTGCATCGATCATATATACAAAATAACTAAGTTTATAATATAAGATAAATTTTGTGGCCATGTGAAATGTGTTGATTGATAATTTAAAACACGTGGAAAAAAGATGGTCATGTTACCTATGACTCCAACATAGAAACTCAAGTCTGCCATATCTGGGGATGGGTTTCTGAGGAAGGTAGATAGAGAAAGACTTGAAAGAGGATGAGAGAGATAGCAAATTATAAGGATGCGACTTTGTGTTTATCTGTCCACATACGAGATATATATATAACATATATATGTGAGTTTTTGGTAAAATATTAATCAAATATAAATTCTCTTTCAAGACAGCAAAATGAACAGAACATTAATGTTAGACTAAAAGGGCTCGTGTAGCATGTGAATATTTGATTAGGATAAAAAACTAGTATCGTGCATACCTTATTCTACACTTTTCACTTTTCAGAGTTTGAATAATTCTTTTTTCTTTTGTTCTATTTTTAAAGCCCTACTGGAATTAAAAACAGTGATTTAGTAAAGATTCGAACAGTTGTAATATCACGAGAATATAATTAACGGACATTCATCGGTAATGTGAAATCCACTATAAGAAAACTTACATAAACTCATATTAAGAGTGAAAACAACTTTAAGTAAAAATAGCACATACTTTTGACTTCATGCTTGAACATTTTATATAGTAATATATCAAATTATCAATAAGAGACATTATTTTGCTGATCCTAAACTTTTGAAAAATAGAAAATCATAGTTAAACATTAGTCATGGTCTCATGGACATATAAATTAAATGGATAATTCAAAACAAAATTTCACATTTGATGGTTTGTTTTCTAAAACTACTGGTATAATCCAAAAACTTCAAAAATACCATAAATTTTAGGTTTAAGAAGGAGTATAATAAGATTTAGTGATTGAACTGTTTACAGTTTTTGATATTTTTGTCTAAATTTTGTTTTGTGACATTTTATGATATCTTTCTAAATGTCAATAGATATTTATTTATACATATACATCTATAGTTTATAGATAAGCTATTTATTTTTTCAACTAAACGAATATTTTGGTAATTTAAAAATGTCAATTCGTAAGATAAACCGCTGAATTTAAAATTTTACTTTAAATAAATAGTTGACCCAAAAATTAATCTTATTAACTTTAAAGTAAATAGTTGACTGATGACTATAACCTTAATTACTTGTAAAGACATAAACATTAAACCGACTATAATTTATAGTCTATTGATTCATGCAATTGTTGTCGTTGTATTATTATCCAAATTCAGACTTGCATATTGCATATTATTGTTTATCCGAATTTGAATTAATTCGTATATTGTATACTATTGGCAGATAGCTCGTTTACATAAACTAAACATGACTTATCAATATCATTTTTATGTGATTTGGTTTACAAAGAAGTTATGGTCCAACGTCCATACGTATATATCTTCATCCGATTGAAGCCTTTCTCCATAAGGTTCGAACCCTATAAATATTATTTGGATGTGAAAAATCTCTTTATAGAATTTGATCATGCCTTCAAATTATATTACTTTTACAGGAAGAAAAAATCTTAAAATCTGAAAATATTAAATCTTGATTGATGATAAAGAATTATCAAGTTCCTCTATATGTTTGATGGAATTTTCAAGATTTGATCCTTCACATGTTTTCACAAGTTTTGGTTATTTGAAAATTGCTAATGTCAGTCTTGTAGATGAAGTTAAAACTTTAATTTTAAAAGACATGTTTATATTATACATACATGCCCAGCTATGTGGTGATTAAAAAAATGTTAAATTTTAAATTTTAAATTTAAGTAATCAGTTTTCTTGAAAATCCACGTCATGGTATTCCTACTGTCTAAAATTCGTGAAACACGGGGTCGCTAAATTATTTTCATATAGGTCCAATCATTTCAAATAATTTCCAACTTTTGGCCACTAACTTTAAAATGTTTATTTTATGACCCTTTGTCCCACCGAGTTCACTCGGTAACTCGGTCAACAGAAAAGAGTCCGAAACAAAAGAAGGTCTTTGTTGACTTGGGTTGACATAAAAATGGCGACTTCGATGATTCAGAGATTGTTCAAGCAAGGCACAAAGATCGTCGGCGTTGGACTCAATTACGCTTCCCACGCCAAAGAACTTGGCAATGCCCTTCCAAAGGTACGAACTTTACTTGTATCTTCTTCACATTCTTTGGTTTTCCTTAGAAATTGATCGAGCAGGATTCGAAAGTTGCCGCGTAAATTATAGATTTTGTAACAACAACACAACTGGGTCCTGCATTTGTGTTATTGATTAAACTCTCTCTGTTTTGTGTTTGTGATTTGCTGGAAGTAGGACCCGATTGTGTTCTTGAAGCCAACCTCTTCGTACCTTGAAAACGGTGGAACAATAGAGATCCCACATCCACTGGATTCACTTCACCATGAAGTGGAACTTGCTGTAGTAATTGGACACAAGGCAAGAGATGTCCCAGAACGGTTAGCCATGGATTACATTGGAGGTATTTTTACTAGCCCTGCTTCATTACTTACAAGTAACATCAAGGATATGAGAATCAATGTCTTTAACTTTAACAAGTTGGAAATTTTACGTATTGGTGCATCATTGAGTAAGGTAAACCTGTTTGTATGTGATGTTTTATAGACATAAGCCAATGTTAGTGAGTTTGTTCTTCATCTTAGTATTTATATCCCTTTTTAGCATGTTACGCTGTTCTTATTTTTGCTCCTTATTTTCTAGGATATGCGCTTGCTCTTGATATGACTGCTAGGGAACTCCACGTTTCTGCCATGGTAGAGAACCATTTATGGGTCGAGTTTTCCCTGTTGGGGATCATAACATATGTTTGCCAATTGATTCCATGTTTCTATCCATCCTTTACTGTGAACAAAAATCTTAGATCTGTGTTGAGTTTGCACACTCATCAAGTTTTTATGCAATTCTTTACTTAAGCATATATCATCATGGGGTGTTTAAATTCTCGTCTTCAGGCATCTGGTCTCCCATGTACGCTTGCTAAAGGACAGGATACCTTCACTCCCATCAGCTCCGTTGTAAGTCATGATCTGGAACTTTTTTCCCAAAATGTTAGTTTCACCAAACCATGTGAAGATTAGCCTCCACGGATTATAGTTTATGGGAAATGTATTACTTTGAATGGATCCAATTATTATTCTCGTCCGGGATCACTATATAGCAGATTGCTTAGTGTTATTGCGTCCACTGGGATTTATGTATGTAACTGAGATTGGAGTGCTTGTCATCACCATTTGATATGCGAATATGTGTATGATAAGACATTAGCTACTGATAGCAAACACACTCTTAGCCTCTTATCTTAAATTTGGTTTCTTTTATCTTCTTTTAGCTACCAAAGGCAATGGTGCTGGATCCCAACAACCTGGAACTTTGGCTTAAGGTTTGGCTCCTCATGCTCTGTCGTCGTATTAAGCTACACTGTTCCCTTTTAGAATTTCCCACTCTGTAACAGGTCGATGATGAGACAAGACAGAAAGGTTGGACAAAGGATATGATCTTCAAAGTCCCATATCTCATCAGCTACATAAGTTCTGTAATGACCCTTTTCAAAGGAGATGTTATATTGACAGGTAAAATATTTGTTTTCCCATCTTAAAGATTCCATAAAACTTGTAACATAGGAGTCATAATTTGATTTGTCTATAACTGAGATCATTCAAGATAGTATTGTTTAAATAAAGTTGGTCAAATGTGTATGTATAGGTACACCAGAAGGTATAGGACCTGTAAAGATTGGTCAGAAGATAACCGCCGGAATCACCGGTCTTTCTGAAGTTCAATTCGACGTCGGTAGGCGGATAAAGCCATTGTTGAGATAGTGTTTTGTGAATCTTTTGTTGTATAATCTTACATTTATAAGAGCATTTGACCTAATTTCTCTTGCTATTTATCATATCTTGCTGACCTTTTTGTAATGATACATGTTAACATTCAACTAATTTGCCAATGATTTCTTTTATTTGTCACAAAAATAGCTAATTAAGTAATTGAATTAATATAAAAATTAAATGATTGAAAAAGAGAATTGAAATTACATGACTACGCGGCGAGACTTGTGTGTTTGTATCTCCGTCGCTTCTCTTCCACAAGTATACGAGCGGAAGTTAGGTTTTCGTCTTCTTCAAGCTCACTCACCTCCGCCGCTTCTCTGTTTTTCACGATGTTGTTGTATAGCGTTCGAATTTTACAGTGAAATGACTACGAAGACATAGATTGTGAATGCGTAGATCCATTGCGACTGGGTTTGCGTCGATAGCGAAGAAGGGGTTTCATCTTCATAGTCATAGACATCATCTACAGATAAGTAATCACAGAACTGCTCCTCCCTTAAGCCTTTGTGGTTTCTGTTTCTGGATTCGAGCTTTTTCTAATTACCGAAAGATTTTGAGAAATGGTCTTCACAATCTTCAGTTTAACGAGGCTCTTGACTTGTTCACTCGTATGGTTCACTCTCGTCCTCTTCCTTCAATTATCGATTTCACTAGGTTGTTGAGTGTTATCGCGAAGATGAAGAGGTATGATGTTGTGATCTCTCTATTCGAGCAAATGCAAATTCTGGGAATTTCACCTGTTTTGTATACCTGCAATATCGTGATGAATTGTGTTTGTCGATCTTCTCAACCTTGTCGTGGTTCGTGTTTTCTTGGGAAGATGATGAAACTTGGTTTTGAGCCTGACTTAGTCACGTTTACTTCTCTGCTTCATGGATTCTGTCAGTGGAATAGAATTGAGGATGCTTTAGCTTTGTTTGATCAGATTGTTGGAATGGGATTTAGACCTAATGTTGTGACATACACTACATTGATTCACTGTCTTTGTAAAAACCGACATTTGAATCACGCGGTGGAGCTTTTTAACGAGATGGGGGATAATGGGATTAGACCGAATGTTGTTAGTTACAACTCTCTTGTAAGCGGTCTTTGCGAGATTGGTAGATGGAGCGATGCTGCCTTGCTTCTGAGGGATATGATGAAGAGGGGAATTCAACCTAATGTAATCACTTTCACTGCTTTGATCGATGCGTTTGTGAAAGTAGGGAAGCTTATGGAGGCTAAAGAACTGTACAAGGTGATGATCCAAATGTCTGTAGATCCTGATGTTTTCACTTACACTGCACTGATCAATGGGCTTTGCACGTACGGTCGCCTAGATGAGGCTAGGCAAATGTTTTATTTGATGGAAAGCAATGGTTGCAACCCAAATGAAGTGACTTATACTACTCTCATACATGGATTTTGCAAGTCTAAGAGGGTAGAGGACGGGACAAAAATCTTCTGTGAGATGTCCCAGAAAGGATTAGTTGCAAACACAATCACTTACACCGTTCTTATCCAGGGTTATTGTCTGGTGGGCAGGCCTGATGTTGCCCAAGAACTTTTCAATCAGATGGGTTCTCGTCGTGCGCCTCCAGATATTAGAACCTACAACGTTTTGTTAGATGGTCTTTGTTATAATGGGTACGTAGAGAAAGCATTGATGATATTCGAATACATGCGGAAGAGGGAGATGGATATTAATATTGTTACATATACTATCATTATCCAAGGGATGTGCAAGGTTGGTAAGGTGGAAGATGCTTTTGATTTATTTTGTAGCCTTTTCTCCAAAGGAATGAAGCCTAATGTTATAACCTACACCACAATGATATCGGGATTTTGTAGGCGAGGCTTTATTCATGAAGCTGATGCGCTGTTTAAGAAAATGAAAGAAGATGGGTTCTTACCAAATGAAAGCGTGTATAAGTAGGTGCCTCCGTAAGCTGAACTCATGAGGAGTTCAGGTTACTATGATGCTTTTGATCTCAAGCATATGATGGTACAGCTGCAGTTTGGGGAGAGGAAATACAGGTTATAAAATGTCTTTCATAATCACAGGTTATAGCTCTATGTTGTATTGGATAACTGAATTTTAACCTCCACTCTTTTCGTAAATTATAAATTTTCAGGTGCAACAAAGAGTGTTGCCATACCTCGTCAGCTGCATAGGTTCCGTAATGATTCATTTACAAGGAGATGTCATCTTGACAGGTATTTGTTTGTTGTTGAAGGTTCTTTCCATCGTTGAGATTCCGCATCGAACCAAAGTTGTAGATTAGATTACTGAAGTGAATATAGTATTCTTAAGAAAGTTGTTGAATGTATAGATAGAGGACCTGTAAATGTAATGATTGGTTAGGAGATACGTTCGGGAATTAACCGATACTGGCCTTGTTCTAAAGCCGTTGAGGTAGTGTCTGTCAAATGAACTGTTGTAAGGGCTAAGAGGATTTATCATTTGTGACGAATTGTGTTGAACTAACTCGTTCTGGACTATACTGAATCAAAGAGCAGAGTTACACTACAACAGTACAACTGAAACGAGATATATGTGACACACAATATTCATTTTACACCAATTGAGGAAACATATATACTTATTATACTTTTGAACATAAATTTCAATTTACAGATTTTTTTGAAAAATGTAAACACTGTATTGAAAAAAATTTAAACTTCTTTACTATTTTATTTGAATTACATTACATTGCTGAATTCATATTTAATAACACATATAGTCGAAACACGATTGGTTAATGTCAACATCATTTGAGAGGCGAGGTAAAAATAATGAAGTACGCTCATTCTAAACGTCTTATCACTTATGTATAATAATTTAATAACAAAGGCTGATGATTAATTTGTGTAATATGCGTTATACGTCTCACGTTCATCAAGCAAGAGTAATTAAGGTACTCGTTTACAACACAAAAAATTATCAACTATTATTCTATTACGTTCTCTTTATAAGAAAATAATGTGGAAATTGGAATCCCCGTTAAAGAAATGACAGCACCATTGAAGAAATCAGTTAGAAATATTACCATTAAAGTATGTATAATCTAGGAAAAAATTCAAGAGATGTCCGTACAAAGGTGGATACTTCAATGATAATATTTCTAACTGATTTCTAGAATTTAGACCAAGATATCAACTTCAAGGTGGATACGTCAATCATCAACCTTTGTTGAAAGCAAAATATCAACTTTTGTAAAGATTTTAATAATGTAATAGAATTTAGACCAAGATAGAATATGAGTGATGAAAGCAAAATATCAAATCATGTTCAAATTAAGGACTAGGACTTTTTGACTACATATATAACACAACATATTTTGAAAAGCGAGTTTGTTTTAGACATAATTTCATGTTCGAATTTTTATACAAGAGAACTAATCAGATAACTTCTCTTACTACTTTATTTGAATTACATTACTGTATTCATATTTAATCATATATAGTCCAAACATGATTAGTTGATGTTAATTGTTGGTTTCTCAACATCATTAGAAACGCGGAGACAAATTAAAAAACGAAGTACGCTCATATCTGTTATAATACATAATACATTCTAGAATCACAAAGATATAAAGTTTGCTAATATTTTTTTTAAAGCAAAAAGTATATAAAATATAAGCAAAACAAATCTTAATTACAAGCAAAACATAGGTAAACTTTATTGTTGTTTTTACATATCAGAGAATTCATCTCAATTTCGTTTGTAATGGGATTAAATATGTGGCCTTAGAGATGCGTGATGCAATCGCTTTGATCATATCCAAAATACGAGCTCTGAATTGATAGAAAAATGCTTTCATGAGAGGTCAATAATCAACCAAGAGGGATGGTTAATTGATACGTGTCTTCCTTATTTTTTCTCGGATGTAGCAGATTGCTTAGTGTTATTGCGTCCACTGGGATTTATGTATGTAACTGAGATTGGAATGCTTGTCACCACCATTTGATATGCGAGTATGTGTATGATAAGACATTAGACTGATAGCAAACACACTCTTAGATCATAAGATCGTCGGATTCCACGGCAAAGCTGGAGATTTTGTTCATCAAGTTGGTTGTCCATATCTCGCCAATCTCCAAGCCTTAGACGTGTCGATCTCTAAATGCTTCTTAGTTCTAATCATAGTTGAAAATAATTTCATAGTATTACATGTTGGTGACTGGTCGAGTTACCCTATTAAGTATATGACTTCTTGTTTGTGTTGCTATAATTGCTTGAGCCTCACGATAAGGTTCTATAGCTAAAATAAAAGTCCAATTTAGTTAAAGTTTTTTATATTATATTTAATAATAAGATAATATGTTATAAGAGTAACAAAAATAAGTTTATACTTTATTAATTCTATTATGATATTATCTTTTTTTAATTTTTCTCTGAAAAGGGATTTAAGTTTTGAGTGAGTGATATACACAGAGGAATCTTTATGTTGTCTAATTTGTATTTAAATTATTACTTTTGATAATAAAAAATCTCATGGTAAAAAAAAAGTGTAAAAGTATCTCTAACTATTTTTCCTCTTGCATTTTTCAAACTACAAATAGTAAATAGTTTGCCAAAAAAAAAAAATGAAGAAGGGTAGAATAGTCAAAGAGAAAACTCGCGCGTCAACGTTGGCGTCGTCTTGCCAAACTTGCCAACAATAATTAGACTCTCTCTGCACTTTCTCACGAACCTCTCTGTCTCGTCCATTACTTAAAAACCAAATCTTTCATCATCTTCTTCTTCTTTCTTCACCAGTTGACTCTCTTTCTCTCTCTCAATCTCTCTGAATCTCTCACTCTCCTACCCGAAAACATGAACACCAACGACCCGGATCCGATTCCGTTTAACAGACCCGAAGACAACTTCTCCGGTTCTAAAACCTACGCAATGAGCGGCAAAATCATGCTAAGCGCTATAGTAATCCTCTTCTTCGTCGTCATTTTAATGGTCTTCCTCCATCTTTACGCTCGTTGGTATCTCCTCCGTGCTCGTAGACGTCATCTCCGTCGTCGTAGCCGTAACCGTCGAGCTACGATGGTTTTCTTCACCGCTGATCCTACCACCGCCGCTACCTCCGTCGTCGCTTCACGTGGACTTGATCCAAACGTCATTAAATCTCTTCCCATTTTCACTTTCTCCGATGAGACTCATAAAGATCCGATCGAATGCGCCGTTTGTTTATCGGAATTTGAAGAGAGTGAATCGGGTCGGGTTTTGCCCAATTGTAAACATACTTTTCATGTTGATTGTATTGATATGTGGTTTCATTCTCATTCCACTTGTCCTCTTTGTCGCTCTCTCGTTGAGCCTCTCGCCGGAATTGAATTAACGGTGGCGGCGACGACGGAGGGGGAAGTTGTGATTGCGATTGGTTCTGATCCGGTTTCTGCAATTGAACCGGGTTCTAGCTCTGGATTGAGGGATGAACCACATGGATCTGGATCTTCTCCGATGCCGACGGAAGATTCCGGGAGAAAACCGGCGGCGATTGAGGTTCCGAGGAGGAATTTCAGCGAGTTTGAAGACGAGTTGACTCGGAGAGACTCGCCGGCGAGTCAGTCGTTTAGATCGCCGATGAGTCGGATGTTATCTTTCACTCGGATGTTGAGTAGAGATAGAAGAAGCGCTTCGTCTCCTATCGCCGGAGCTCCGCCGGTATCTCCGTCGTTGAGTTGCCGGATACAGATGACCGAGTCAGATATCGAGCAGGGAGAAGAGCGTAGGTGACGTGCCACGTGGTGGTGTCTGATTGGTTTGATTTTCAATTCAACAGGCTTCTGTCGCGCCCGTGGACACGTGGCGTAATCTGAGCTTCCAGTGAATCGATATTTACCGTCTATTATGATTACATTAGATTAGTTAGATAGATTTGTTTGACGATGTACAAAGTCAGTCATCTACATATTGAATCAATTTCCATTTATTTTTCCATAATTCTTTTTTAATTTTCCAATTTCTACAGACTCTTTCTGTAATAACAATCCAATGGTCATAATTGTGATAAAGACTTTGCATAAGTATTTCCTTTATTTATTACCAATTTACCTCTCCTCAATTTTTATTTTAAGGGATGATAACCATTTTAAATATAGAACTGTAATTTGTGATCATCTTATTAAATATAATTTTATTGTAAGCATTCTTAATAATACTACTAGTGATATCGAACGTAATGTATCATACTGTCATCATGTTTGATCGGACAGTATGTAATTGGTCTGATAAATTAAGATAAACATGCAACACAGTTAGTAGTTTCCACCGATTCCATGTGAGTCCGTGCTCAACACGACTACGACTTCCGAGTTTTGACTCTTTAACAATATCTTCTTCTTTCACTTCAAATCTATATCATTGTTTTTAGTTTTTTGTCCATTCATTTGGGTCTGATTGATATATAAAATGTATTGAAATGTATCACTCTTGATTTTTACGCGTTAGTGGACCAAGTCTTATGCTTCCTAACCACACCACAACGTGATATTTAAAATACCAACTACTTCATGTATCCAACAAAATGGAGTAACAAGTTACCAACTCGCACTATCTCCAACTCCAATCATCAATTTGTTTTATCAATTAAAAAAACATATATCTTTCGTTAAGATGTATGCGTGAATAATCTCAGTTTTTAAATACAAATTTTGGAAACAGAAAACTATACATAAACCACTAATTAATTAAAAGTTGGGGAAAAAAAAAGCTACAATAAAAAGACGTAAGTGAAGGGCAATTTAGGTAGATGAATATGTTAATTCATACAAGTAGAAGACAAAAAATCAAGAGAGTACACTTTCCAGGAACTTTCCATTGTCAATTAGATGACCGCAAAAGTCTTTTGTTGCTTTCCCAAAGACCCAAAAGTCCAAAAACAGTGTCGAAATAAGGAATTAACATGTAGATACAGTCATAGACTGATTTGGAATGTTTCTTGCTTTTTATACTTTTATATGCAACGTTTTATGTCTCTTCTTAATTTGTACCATGTATATACATTTATCTTTGGGTGAACAAAATATTAATTTGTACCATGTATATCATTCTTTCTAAGAATTATTTTCTCGCTGAAAATTATTTTTCATAAGTGGATAAGTCCACAAACATGTGATAAAATAACGAAAATAGATGGGCAAGTGGACAGATAAAATGAAATTGATATAAGATATAGTTACAAGTTCTTGATTTGGTTCTCTTGAGATAAAGAACATTATTTTATGAACAATACTATAACATCCGAATTCTTCAAAATTTCCACAAGCACTCTTTCTAATATGTTAAAAGACCCTCTAAAAGTGGAATTTTCATTGTTATTACAACATATACTACTTCTTCTGGCAATGCCTTAATTATAACTTACACAAATGACAGTTACAGAGTTTCATAACTGTCTGACCTAACTACACAATCTAATTTGAGTAGTCACAATTTCCCCAAAGATTTTTCGATTGAAGAAACTTCAGTTACCTCAGCTACATCTTCAGATCGACCCTTCCGTCTCTTCTTACTGTTTGGTGTGCATCTCGCGCCGACACTGTTGATCTTTGAGATCTTTAGTGAGACTTTCCGAGTCTGGCTTGAGACAGCACATGTGTTTGGCTTCTTTGGTGGTGGTGACTCGTGAGATTTGCCTTTGGTTATTGGAGACTTAGCTCTTTTCTGGGGTAAATGCATCCCTCTTTTCTCATTCTTTCTGTTATGATCTTTGAGCAACCGAACACTGAAAGGTTTAACCGCTGTATAACACATTGGTTCGTTTGTGGAGTTCCCAGGTTTTTCCAGATCAACGTCTCCATTATTCACCTGTGCAAATCATAATTTAAATGTTGAGCTCTTGTTTGGTTAACACTTAACATATATAATTGTTTTCCACCGTGACTTACCAACTGGAGAAGCGCAGAGAAGGCCCGAGCTACCTCGTGCTTTTCTTGGTCTTTCATAAGATCGGTAAAGGTCTCGACGTTTCCGCTCTCTTCAACAGTCAGTTTGTTAATAATCCTTTCTCCATATTCTTGAATGTCAAAAGGAGGGTGTAGCTCCTGATCATAGAAAAACAAAACCAGTGGATATAGAAAATGCATCAGATCTCTGACTTCAAGTAAATCGTAACAGAAACTAGGAGAAAGAATATTACTTGTTCTTCTAGGTTTTGCTCAATTTTCTGTTTCCACGTTGAAACCCGAGCAGCCAGATCTGTTTGCTTCTCACTTTTAGCTATGTTAGCGAGAAGAGCATCCTACAAAAGAAAAACTGAACATTTGAGCATCCATAAGAAAACGTAGCAAAAACCTAACTCGGTCTTCTGAAAATTGGAATAACTGTACTTCCAATGTATAAAATCAAACCAATGTAGTTACCAGGTGTGAACGGCAGAGATCTTCCAAGCTTTCTTGACAATTTGATTCGCCGTTTTCAAATCCATCATAGTTGTGAAACTCAGCAGCTCCACCATCATTCTGCATTAAGTTCAAATGAGCGGATAAGGGTTTCATATATTTCAACCAAAATAGATCAATTAGTGAAACTACTCACCATATTGAGAACATCTTCATCCATGAAGGGATGTTCTGCATCATCACCATCATGCTCCCCAAAATCATGGAAGTCGCCATTATTGGCTTCATCATGGTTATCCTTATCATTGTCCTTGTAATTGCCGTTAGCACCACAAGGTTGGTTTCCTCCATTCAAAAGCATCTCTCGAAGCTGACATCAAAACTATCAGTTTTTTTTTGTTGTTTGTGACATTTCAATATAATATGAAAGGTATAGAGAAACACAGACCTTCTCGTAATAGGGAATGTCTTGTGATTCTTGCTCGCCTTTACTAGCACAACCGTGTATCTTCCAAATTCCAATAAGCTCCGAACTGATGGGACCGTTTGGTCTAGCGAGAGGGAACATGGAAGTCATATGGTCCTTGGTAATGCTCCATCCAATCTTTTTGAAATTTTTTACTGCTCATGAAATAAAGTAGAACATCAACTAGAAGTAAGGCGCAAATGGAACGATATAGCTTCAGACATTAATCAAGAAAACAATAGCCATTTCCCAACCTTTTTTGAAAGGCTTCACTTTCAACTTCCCTGGTTCATAGGGATTCAATGGCTTCCACGGATCATCTTCATCAGCATCTGTATCACTAAAATCCATGGTTCCTCCATATTCATTATCCATGTCAAAACCATGATCATTGTCTCCAAAAACAGGAGGCTGAGACCCTTGGTCACAATTTTGAACATTGGGACCATTCCCACATATTGGGGACAAGTTGACATTGGTGCCCTGATTCTTTCCCACAGATGACTTACGAGCACTACCTCCAGAACGTCCCACAGATGAGTGAAAACTTTTGCGAACTGAGCTACCTCTGTGAGCATTGTTATTTCCTTTACCAGCATAGTCATCACCTAAGAATTCATTCACCGCTACAGCATCACATGGATCTAATAGAATAAAATCCCGGTAGAGATGTGTAGTTGCCAACTGCAAGACATGAAAGTTAAAATGGAGTTCAAGCCTCAAGCTCTTTCTGTTTTCAATGCTCTAAGAGATGGAAGAACATGCTATACCAGATAGGATTCCAATTCTCCTCCGTCACCACTAGTATCTAAACAGTCACCTTCAAGAACAACTAGATTCGCCGGAGGCTTAACAAATTGACTTGGGCAGGTATCTCCGCCAACCAAACTGTCCAATCTATTCTTTGTGTCCACTGTATTATCAACAATAGCTGGATTAGAAACCTGCTCTCTAGAGTAGCACAAGGATAAAATGTCAAATTTCAGAAATTTCTCTACCTGGGATGTCATCTACATTCCAGAAGAGATCATTTTCTTCTTCATCAACCTGACGTGAGGAACTTGCCTCAGCCTCGTTTGATGTACCTTTGGACTGTTCCTGGTCTCTGTTTGAAATAGCAAGAACAATTGACTAATTAGAGAATCTTTGATACCGTTTTAATACAAAGTATTTGCAATATTGTGATAAACACAGCCTTTGTTTGATTAAGATACATATTTTCTCCAAGAATTGCATAAGGAAAAGGAAGCAAATTTCCAAGTGAGTAGCAACTAGCAAGGTGACCAAAACTAAAACTCTAAGAAATCAGAAAGTAACAGCTTAAACACAGCACCTAAATAGAAAAAAATCGTTTTTTTAGATGCAACCATGGTATAAATTTTCTTCATTTGTGAACACAAAACAAAACCCATACACATAAAGATAGATGGAATCAAAGTTAGCCCCTAAACCCTGAGATGCTTGGAGTATCTAACACAAGTAGTTCAATTTCACTAAGGAAAAAACAGGGAATCCAAAAGGACAAACCTTTGCTTCGATAGAAACTCCAACGTACGTAGCACTAAATTGTACAAGTACTCAACTTTCTTGCTGTAAACCTGAACCGAACCCTGAAGCAGCAAAGCAGCTACAACAAAAATCGAAAACCCAATCCTCAATTACTCAAAAATGGAATAACTTGAAATCAAACGAGAAAGTTCTGAAATTGAAGCAAAACCCACATACCTTCAGCGAAATTCACAGGAATTTGACCATCTTCTTCATTCCCAGTGATTTCACCGGAACAAATTTTGAGGAGGTACTCTTCTAGCTTCTCCGACAAATCAACTTCCCAATTAGCCACCAAATCTCTCTCCGGCTGTACTGTATGAATCCTCTCGCCGCGGACTCCTCCGCCACCGTGACTCGTCATTCTCGGTGGAGGCTCACGGAATTTAAGCTTCTGTATGGAGAGATTGGATAATTCATACCCCTAATCCAAAACCCCCAAAAAGAAAAAGCTGAAACCCTAAAAACTGTGAATTGGGATCTTGACAAAAAGAGAAATTTCCAAAGAAATCTCAGGTTTTCTGGTGAAAGTTGAGAAATTTTGCTGGGAGGCGAAGGGATTGTGAGATGTAACACGACGAATTCAAGTGATTAGGGAAGATAGAAAGGAACTGTGAGTGAGAGACAGAGATTGAGAGAGTTTGAGGAAAGAGTGATACGAATTATTTTGACTTGTCTAGATTTTCCCGCTCCTCATCAAATGCAAATAGTGTTACTATTGGGCCTAATTCATTTGGGCTTAATTAATTTTGTGACATCACTATCCAACTAAAGTATTCAGAAATTGCCACGTAATCCACCTTCTTTTAAATCGTGTCATTTATTTGAAAGAGGCCCTGTTTGTTTCATCATTTTACATTTGCATTCAAATGGTCCATTTAAATGATTCATTTGGATGATTCATTTGGATGATGTTTGTTTTAATATTTGTTATTTCATTCAAATGGATCTTTTTTTGTTTGATCATTTTGTAATTCATCCTAAATCTCATATAGACCAAAATGACTAAAACACCCATGCTTTTATTTTGACAAATAATCACATATAAAAACTAAATAAATTATTATTTTAACATATAAAAATTAATTTTACAGTTTTGGCGGGAAAATATGATTTTACGATTTTGGCTGAAAATGTAATTTTGCAGAATTGGCGGAAAACATGATTTTGCGGTTTTTGGCGGAAAAATACGATTTTGCAGTTTTGGCGGAAAAATACGATTTTGCAGTTTTGGCGGGAAAATACGATTTTGCGGTTTTGGTGGGAAAATACGATTTTGCGGTTTTGGCGGGAAAATATGATTTTACAGTTTTGGCGGGAAAATAATTTTGCGGTTTTGGCGGGAAAACATGATTTTACGGTTTTGACGGGGAAAATAATTTTGCGGTTTTGGCAAAAAATGTAATTTTATAGTTTTGGTGGAATAGCGCTTTCTATAATTTTACATCAAAAATTATGATTTTACAGTTTTTGGCAGAAAAACGCAATTCCACGATTTTACGATTTTGACGTAAAATAATAATCCGTGATTTCATGATTTTTAGAGTATTTTTTGGTTCCAATATGTAATTTTAAAAATATTAAATAAGAAATCTATAGAAAATAATATTATTTAAAATATGATTGTATAAGAGGGTATATCTGTCTTTTGTTATTTTTGAATGAACCATCTTCATCCAAATGGTTCAATCAAGTTCATCCAAATGAGTTTCATAAATTTGCCTAAATTTAAAAACTCATTCAGATGGATCATCTAGATGATCCATCCAAATGCTTGTTAAATTGTCAAAAACAAACATCATTTTTCATCTCCATCTAGATGGATCATTTGGATGGAGAAACAAACAGGACCAGAATCATTTATGATTTAACAACTGTAGCGAGACTTTAACAGGCCTTGAGCCTTTACTTTAAAGCCCAATCAAAAAGTCTTGAACTTATTACCAATCAAACCCCACTTATGTGTGTGTACTTTGGTCGGAAGCGGAAGTATATATCCTGATGATGATGGAGTAAATTAACAGTCGGGAAGAAATCGGTGGAAAAGGGAAAATCTTCCATTAGAGATTCGATTCGAAACAATGACTAAGATTTCGGATCTTCCACGGGATTTGACAGAGGAGGTGCTCTCTAGGCTTCCGATGACATCTATGAGAGCAGCGAGATTTACTTGCAAAAAATGGAATACTTTATCGAAAGATCGGAGCTTTAGAAAGAAGCACCTGCGTGGAGCAATATCAGCAGCGAAGAAGAAGCAGACGAAGGAGTTTCAGGTGATCATGATGATTCAATATAGGGTTTATTTATTCAGCGTCAATCTCCTCAATCCATCTATAGAGCGTATAGGTAAACTTATTAGCCTAGACGTTGAAGATCGTGTCGATATATCTAAAATCTTTCACTGCCACGGTTTATTGTTATGCATCACCAAAGACATGTCTAGGCTTGTGGTTTGGAACCCTTACTCTGGGCAAACTAGGTGGATCCAACCTAGAAATTCTTACCACAGATTGGACAGGTACGCTTTAGGATATGAAGAGAAGAAAAATTCGTGTCGTAGCTACAAAATCTTGAGATTTATGGATAATTACGAGGGCGACAACCCACCGTACCTAATTCGTGAGTTTGAAATCTACGACTTAAACTCTGATTCATGGAAGGTTGTTGATGTCCCTCCTGACTGGGAAATAGAGTATTATCACCGTGGCTTGTCTCTCAAGGGGAATACTTACTGGTTTGCTCAAGAGAAGCTTCCAATATTCCCACTCGGAAGAGTGGTATCAGATATGGCTGATTTCTTACTCTGTTTTGATTTTACAAGGGAGAGGTTTGGACCGCGTCTGCCTCTGCCTTTTCACTCTTTTGTTGAAGATACTGTGACTCTATCTAGTGTTAGAGATAAGCAACTTGCAGTGTTATTTCAGCCATGTTATGCATCTACCGTGAAGATATGGATTAGTAGCAAGATTGAGCCCAATGCAGTGTCGTGGAGGAAGGTTTTCTTAGCGGTTGATATGAAACCACTCACTGGTTTTCAGTTTGACATTTACTCTGGGAGTTTCTTTGTTGACCAGAAGAAAAAGGTCGCCATGGTTCTTGATAAAGACAGATGCAGATCTAAATTAACTCGCAACATAGCTTACATCATTGGAAAGAAGGGGTATTTCAAAAAGGTGGATCTTGGAGAATCTACAGTGCCATCACTTGCCTCACTTGTGTGCTCTTACGTTCCAAGCTCAACGCAAATCTAGCAAGCTTCACCACGAGGCAACCCTAATATATTCACGTTGTTTACTGTTTTTCTTTTCTCGTCTTGGGTTAATAATTTTGAGATTGACAATTGTTGGTTTCTCAACATGGCCTATGCTTTCTTTACTCTGTTCATCCTTCTATATCTAATGGATAGTGATTCAAGATAATGTATATGATCTCGATGGCTCTTCCAACATGTCTTTGAAACATCTTGAATTGCCTTTGCCCCTAAAAGTCTATATTTTTCCTTGGAAGCTTTCTTTAGCATTGCTAATCAGCTGAAAGGAAAGGGTATCTCTACTCTCTCAGCTCATCTTTAACCTCTTATATAGTTGATTGGTCTTGGAGATTTACTCTATTTTTCCAGACTAATAACTTGTTGGAGAACAAAGCTAAGCATACCTGATCTGACCACAAAAATTTAGGGGAAATTGGTTTCTACCTCTGCATGTCTCACCATAAAAGCTCATCATCGTAGATCATCATGTATGCTTTATTGGAGGGATGGACTTGTGTTTTGCCGGTATGACATTTTTGAACATAAAGCCTTGTGTGACAAGGCCTGAAAAGGACTATTACAATCTCAGGTAAGAATTTCCATCTTGACCAACAGATTTTGTTATTGCAAATAAAGAGTTGAATTTTGAGATGTAAAAACTCTTTTCATTATACCAAGTTGAGTTTTTAATAATAAGAACTTGTGTGTCACTTGCAAGTAATTTTAGCTGTGATGTTGAATTTCCAACTGTTTGAATTCAGAATTTCCCTTCAACATTTAGCAGTTGAGGTAGTTGCTATAAGATATTTTTTCATGGAATCACCGTCTGCAACTTTGCATGAATTCAATTTGATAGACCAAGTTGTTACAGAATCGTTTTAGAGTTTAATTGAAACAACTAACTTGGGGAAACAACATTCTGCTAAATGTGCTGACATGTATTATTCTAACTACCCCCCTAGCTTTGCTGGAGATCCTGCAGCTTTCTTTGTCACCTAATCTGGCCTTAACAAAAACCATTAGCAAGAGGAAGAGCATCTCCATTAGCTTCTATATCATCATCTCCGCCAGATTCATCGCTATCATCATCTCCACCAGATTCATCGCTATCATCATCATCGCTGCTATCATCATCTCCGCCAGATTCATCGCTGCTATCATCATCATCACTGGTTTCATTTTCTCCCATGTTTTCACCATGTGAATCCTCTGTATCATCCCCACTGTTCTCATCTTCTGAATCATTTCCGCTCATGAAATAAGTTCTATAGTGTACCAATCTATATGACCCATAGCTACATTGACCAACACACGTTTAGTAAAACAAAAAGAAAAAAAAAGAAAGAAAGAAAGACTTTACAGATATTACTTACAGATCTTCACATTTGTAGGCTCGTCTTTCATAGGTGGTGCTGACTCCCTCGTCAATGGCAACTAAAAAGCACTGGTTAACTTTATACCGGATGATGTATTGACCATGCCATACCTTAGACTTGGTCATGTCCCACTGAATAGTATCTAGCACGAGCTGCTCATCAATGTTAAAAAGGAATAACCCGTGTTCAGGGAATTGGATGGGTACGGTAGAGGTAGGTAAGTCTTCACGTTTAGCAAGTATATTATGTACATCCCCCTGATTCAACCATTCGAATTCTGACCGTACAAAGATCCCCTCAAGATCTGAGCAAATAAGTGAGAAAGAGAGATAACCCTATTCAGAGACCTCAAGCTTAATGATGACATTAAACAATCGACTAAGTACAGAGATGCAAAACAAATCATATTACGAGACAGAGAACAGAGTCACAGACCCAGTAGGATAAATACAGCTTAATTCACTAAATTTTTGCACACAACTTGTCAAACAATAAAAGAAGAAAAGGAAGAAGAACCTGGATCTATCTCGTTCTGAAGATTGTTAGCCATGATTCCTAAGATTCCGACGTAGCAAGAAACCTGATTCTATACCAGCCCTGAACTCGCCAAATTCTGCACCAGCCCGAAGAAAACACCGTTAATGATCGTAGAAATTGATTCACCAAAAACTTCAAGAAATCTTCACACATCATAGCAAATTCCTTCTACATTACACAAGTTACCTTGAAGCAAACACGACGGACTTAATCGCTGACCCCCATGGATCTCTATCTTCTGCAATTCCGTCGCCAATTTTAGATTCTTCAACCGAGTGAATACTCTCTCATCTCTCAATCTCTCTGTGAATCGATGTGTGCGAACAAGAAACGAAAAAGCAACTAAATTCGTCTCTACTATCTCTGTAACCCAAGAATCCCAAAAGAAATAATTGACTCGTAATCCTATTTCTCACACAGTCGCTTTATATACAGAGGTTTAAGACTCGGCGACTCTAAGTTGATTTCAGTTAAAAACTGTTGGAATAACTAACTAACTAACTCTCAGCACACTTGATATTGAAGAAGACGACTTAAACGACGTCGTAGACTTTTGTGTTTTGGTTTTCTCCAGTTCAGCTTTAACCAGCTCAATTTCCGGTTTAACTCATTAAACTCAAACCGAGTCTAACTAAACCTGTTTTAAAACTCACCAGGTGTTCTTAAGTATTAATATGAATTTAGTAATGTTTGAAAAAAAGAAAAAAAAAGAAAAACAATTCACTAATGCGCAATGGTAAAACCTGGGGGTGAATTGAATAGAAACTTAAACAAGAGGGGCCTTTTTGTGAAGTTTCATTTTGTTTTTCCCCTTCGTTGGCTCTGGACAACATCGCTAAAAGAGAGATCTCTAGATCGCTGGTAGATTCGAAGAATCTCTGACGGTCGGTTCTTGACGACGGATCAAGCTCTATTTCCTCTACCCAAATCTGCGTTATTAGTATCATCTAATCCATCGCGCATTTATCTGTTTCCATCTTCTGGAATCAATTTTGCTTTTGTAAATCTGAAAGTTTTTGAGGAGAAATCATGAATTCGAACTTCGGGAAGAGATCATCGGGACCGATCAATAGCTTCGATTTCGATCTGGGACTCGGATCGAGCCAAGGTAGACCTCTTAATGGTCAGAAGAGCCAAACATCTTCCTATTCAAGCTCGAATTCGCAGCCGAGACCTGCGTGGCAGCCTGGTAAGCCGTCGTGGACGCATCAACCTGCACCGAAGCAGAGTACGATCCGATCCGAGATCGGAAGTGGACCGACTTCAATGGTGGGTGATATTCATGGTAAGACGTGGGGTTCAGCTTCGGGATCGGGTTCGGGGATTGGGATTGTGAATAAGGATCCTAGTTTGTTTGGAGATCTGGTGGGTTCTGCTATAGGTCAAGGTAAATCTAGTAGAAACGTGCCGTTGAAGAATGCACCGCCTGTTTCGGCTTCAGGTTCGAGCAAGAGTCCTTATTCTATGGGAAATTTTGCTGATTCCTTGCCTAAATCTGGTAATTCGATGAAAACTGGTGGTGGTATGGGTTATAGCAGTAATCCGAGTGGGTTTTCTGGTGGTTACACGAGCTCCGGTGGTATGAATTCTGGTGTTAATGCTAATAGTAGTCCAAATCTTGGTGGTCCTTCAATGAAAAATATGTCTGGGGGCAATCTGAGTGGGTCTGGTCTTTCTTCGAACAGTGATCCATTTGGTTCTTTGGTTGGTTTCGGATCAAAACCATCAGGAAGCATCAATTCTGGAATCAAAACAGGAAAGGTTAACAACAATGCACAGAGTGATGCTTTTGGGAATTTTCAAGGAGTGTCGAACGTTAACAGTAGCGGTTTTGCGGGATCAACCACTCAAAACAACGACTTTGGGAATTTTCAGGCTTCGAAATCAAACACATTTTCATCAGGCGGTGGCTTCAATGCTTCAAGTGGTCCACAATCTTCAAGTGCAAACGATGATCCATTAGGAATGTTCTCTAGTTCCAATCCCTCAGCTACAGTGGCTACACCACAAACTGAAGATTGGGGATTTGAAAGTTTTGACGGTGGGTCTGGTTCCACCACCGAGCTTGATGGTTTGCCAGCACCTCCACCGGGTGTATCAGCTACATCAGCTAAGAGCAAGGGCATTGATAACCAGAGACAAGGTCAGTATGCTGATGCCATAAAGTGGCTCTCATGGGCTGTGATTCTTATGGATAAAGCTGGCGATGAAGCTGGATCAGCCGAGGTTCTTTCTACAAGGGCTTCGTGTTACAAAGAAGTTGGAGAGTATAAGAAGGCTGTAGCCGACTGCACAAAGGTATGTGAAGAAAGGCACATTTTTCTTTGGATGCATCATGGTTCATATGACTCTCATCTCAGATCCTTAGTTTCATCCGTATATGAACTCTCTAGTTGTAGATGTATTAAAATTAGCTACGGGGTTAAGGACTCTTGATGGAATTGATACTGATAAGAGCTTTCAAGTATATGAAACTTGACAATATGAGATTTAGGTTCTTATGGAATCTGAAGATGGATTACGAGTTAGAAATAGTGAAATAGTGAAATACTGTGGAAGTATAGAAGTTTTACCACAAAACTTACCACAACTGATGGTTTCTGGTAGACTCAGAACAAAACCAACATCTGCAAAACTTGTAGAAATTTTCACACATCTTAAGTTCTTGATCGGATTGGCAGTTATGCTTCACAGATATTTTTTCTTTTTTCATTTTGAAAACGTGATTGCAGGTACTTGATCACGACAAGAAGAATGTGACCATTCTGGTTCAACGAGCACTTTTATACGAGAGCATGGAGAAATACAAACTCGGAGCTGAAGACCTAAGGATGGTTTTAAAGATCGATCCCGGGAATAGAATCGCTAGAAGCACTGTTCACCGCCTAACCAAAATGGCTGGTTGATCCTTCATATATACCGATACGTTTCAAAGAAAAAAACAAAAACCCTTCAAGTCTCTATAATCCTTCTCGTTACTTTGCCCAATACCGTTTCCTTTCTCATCCATGGACCATGCGTGTGTGTATTTTTTGTGAGTTTTATTGGTTCGTCTATAATGGGTCAGCTTCTGTAGTAAGTGAGTGATGAATGTATTTTTTGGACGGTGCATTTATATGTTGTTGATTTTCTTTTACACACTACTTTTTTTTTGAGTTTTATCATGAAATGTTTGAACAGTCGATGTTTTATGAAATGCCAAAGATGGCCGTAAAATTCGCGTCGTAACTCGCAAAACGAGAACCTTACTTTGATACGCTGCCTGCGTGATGAACGTGAGTACTTCTTACTTGGTTTGTTTTTTCTCGCCTATCTATGAGATTCCATTTTTTGTCAACTATCTAGCATCTACTAGGAGCTTGTTTTTTTTTTTTTTTTCTTTCTTTCTAGGAGCTTAGTTTATTTTGAATTGATTTTCTTTAGCTTGAGAATTATGTTAATAATCATGATTCTTATTTAAAAATATATTTTCGCTTAACTCAAATTTCTTTGTAATATCTCAACTAATACAAAAGTCTCAGTCTAATCTCCAAATTCTCCATCTCCTTCAATCAACCGTACACTATAAGTATTATTTTTTTGCCAGAATAAAATATTTGGAATCAGAAAAGGACTGGAATACTCGATTACGTGTATTTATAATTGAAAGCATTAAACTACCAGACGCTCGTGGACGCAACACTCCAAATACCGATTAATAAACTAATCACATTATCGTACGTTTTGTTTTGAGAGAGAGCCAAAAAAGGCTTATAAGTTTGTCGTTATATGGATTAGCCTTAAAATCGTTGTAACCGTCATGTATTAAGGAACATAAAAATAATATTTGAAATTATTTATAATATAAAGTATTCATTTCACTCCGACTTTATTATATACCATAGAACATTTATTTTGCCTATAAAGGCATTTCACCACCACCGTAGCAAACTTCCTCTAGAAAGAAACCCACAGCAACAAACAGAGAAAATGTGTGGCGGTGCTATTATTTCCGATTTTGCCCCTCTCGTCACCAAGGCCAAGGGCCGCAGACTTACGGCGGAGGAACTCTGGTCAGAGCTCGATGCTTCCGCCGCCGACGACTTCTGGGGTTTCTATTCCACCTCCTCCAAACTTCATCCCACCAACCAAGGTACGAACTACTCTCGATCATAAACAAAATCATATTAGGACAAATAAAAAAAGGATAAAATTATATTTCTGGAACTTACGGGAAGATGATAAAAAAATTATTTGGTTTTGGTAATGTCATTTATTATGATTATTTTAATTAGCTGTGGGGTTAAAACTGTAATTTTTGAACTTTGGGGAATCCGATGAAAAATTTGAAGTTAACGTGAAAGAGGAGCCAGCGAAGGAGCAGGCAACAGAGCCGGCGACGGAGAAACGGAGGAAGAGGAAGAATGTTTATAGAGGGATACGTAAGCGACCATGGGGAAAATGGGCGGCTGAGATTCGAGATCCACGAAAAGGTGTCAGAGTTTGGCTTGGTACGTTCAACACGGCGGAGGAAGCCGCCATGGCTTATGACGTGGCGGCGAAGCAGATCCGTGGTGATAAAGCCAAGCTCAACTTCCCAGATCTGCATCATCATCCTTCTACTCCGCCGCCGTCGTCACCTTCACGATCAACTGATCAGCTTCCGGCGAAGAAGGTCTGCGTTGTTTCTCAGAGCGAGTTAACTCAGCTGAGTTTACCGGTGGAGTGCGTTGGATTCGGAAATGGGGAAGGGTTTCAGAACCTGAGTTACGGATTTGAACCTGATTACGATCTGAAACAGCAGATATCGAGTTTGGAGTCGTTCCTTGAGCTGGACGGTACCACGGCGGAGCAACCGAGTCAACTCGATGAGTCCGTCTCCGAGGTGGATATGTGGATGCTTGATGATGTCATCGCGTCGTATGAATAAAAGAAAAAAAGAAGAAGAATAGTCTAATAAGTAAAAACAAAATCAAATAAAGTTTGTGATATATGTAACCGCCGTTACTTTTTAAGGTTTTCACCGTTACATTGGACTGCTGATGATGTCTGTTGTGGACCGTGTGGTGTTCAAAATGTGACCAAATAATGGAGCGTTATATTATTATGGTTTAATTGTGGTGTTATTATTTTCTTTAATGGAAAAACTTACATGTGTAAATAAGATTTGTAATGTAATAAGTATTTATAACTTTTTAACTACTTTGTGGTAGTCCTGATTCCTGGAACAAATGGAATTAGTTTGTATATGAGAATGGGGTTTCGATTTTTTCTTTGTTTTTCATAGGGGTTGTTATATATTATTAGGTGGAATAACTCTAGGGTTTTTTAGTGACAAAAAAATTATATGTTACCAAATCAAAACAAAGAATGTGATGTAGCAAGAATTAGCAGCCTTTCTCTATTCTTATACGTATAATTCTTGTATGTCTATGAAAAAAGTTATATGATGATGATTTATGAGTATTTCTTTTTCATTACTTTACGTGCAATATTTATGGAAAAGGTCTGATCCGTTTGGTCTCTATGGAAAATTGGAATTCTGAGATATCTTGATTTTAACCAAAAAAAAAAAAAGCAATGTTAACAAATGATATTCGGGACAAAAAAAAAACAACTTACAAATGAGATCAAATTTGGAACTTGAAGAAGTAATTTATTTATAATTGTATGATTTTTTTTTATATAATAATTGTATGATTACTCTATACCATAACTTAAACCAATAAAATAAAAATTTATAATTAAAGGATTCAATTGTTTAAATTACTCTTTCTTCCATGTCATTTGATTAATTTGTTTTCGTTTTATATTTTGTAAATATTGTACGTTAACGTTTCAACTGTAAAACTCTATCCCTAGCTATCGTTTCCCAAATGTGGTCTTACGTATAGTATTACATGCATGTCATGTGATTAAATGAAAAAATGTAGATGTGTTTTAGATGCATGAACCTCTAAAGCCTAGTTGGTCTAATGATAAGAATTAAAGTGGGTCCCTTCAATGTTTCGAAGATTGACAGAATCTATTTGTTTCGCGATATTGTCTATTTCTTTGACGTTTTAGAGAATCATTAGTAATTTAATTAGTAATAATAACTAAGCGGCATCTATTCGATGTGATTGTTTAATTACCCAAGTTCAGATAACCAAACATCATCTAATGATACGTGTCTTAGACTCTTAAACACATGTAGATAGCATAATAAATCTCGATTGGTTTTTAAAATTTGTCTTTACTTCATGTTGTTATAAATAGTGTATAACCATCATAACAATATGAAAACATAGACACACAAAATAATAGAATCCTGATATTCACGGTTAGGACAATCATATATACTTCAAAAGAATTGTGGATGGTTAATACTAATGTAATTTGTTCGCTCAATCTATATATATTCAGCCTTCAATATTATGAAACCAGATGCTAATTATATAAGTCGTCCTTGCGAATATTTGGTATCTACTATTTAGTTAGTAACATATATATATATGCTGATCAATTATATTAACAATAAATGGAAAAGGCCACTTTTATTGGGTATCGCAGTGATGTTATTCAAATAGAGTAAGGGAACTTATGTTCTTGTATAATAGAAATTCAAACATGACATTATGTTTGAAACAAACTCTTATGTAAAAAAATTTGTTGTGTTATGTGGTCAAGAAATCGTAGTCGACAATTTGACCATCTCTGTGTGGTTACTTTTCTCAAGCAGTCCTAAACTTTATCCTTTTTCTCCCCACTTGGAATCAGTGGCGGATCTAGAAAATTTATTTAGTGGGGGCAAAAATATAACCAAAAAAATCAAATATTAAAATATCAAAAAAAAAATAAAACTGTCACTTGGTCAAAAGTAAAAAATAAAATAACATAAAACTGTCATATGAAACCGGAGTTCGACTCCACTAAGTCGCGTTACCCCGCGTAGTAGGGATAGGCTATGGATCGGGCCTTGTCGATCCAAAGATGTCAAAAAAAAAAAAAAAAAAAAAACACCAAAACCTCTCACAAATTGGGTTATACACTTCTAATGTTTCATTCGTTTTTTACTGATTATTTTGGAAAATTAAAAACAAAACTACAACTGTTTTGAAAAACTAAACACAAAATTATTATAAAAACATGTTACATGTGTTATGTATAAAATATCATCAAATCACATCGAGAACAACTGAACCTCTACAATTAGAAGAAACAAATTTACCCTTAAATTTCTAATCGTAGAATTTTAAAATATAGAAATTTGCTTTTAAACTCTTATAATTATAATAAACAGATATAATCATATAAAAGAACAAAGAAAAAAGGTCTTACCAGAGAGTTCTCGTCTGGCGTCTGCAAACTAATCAGGAGGAGAAAGAGAGAGCAGACAAAAAAAATTGGATACAAACGTTTTAGGGTTTTAATTAGTAAAATCAATTAGTTTTAGTTTATAAATAAGGCTTTTTATTTATAAAATATTAGTGATATGGGCTTTTGGCCTTTTAAAAAAATTAAAACAAAAGATGGTGGGACCATAAATATAACTTTTTTCTCGATGATGGGGGCAACGTTTTGTTTTTTGGTGGTGGCAATTATTTATATATAATACATATATACTAAAAATCTAATATATATATTTTTTTTACTGGTGGCAGCTGCCACCTCCTTACTAGGCGTGGGTCCGCCCCTGCTTGGAATTATAATTTGACTTGCAAACAAATAATGTAATCCGTGTGCGTATTATATGTATATATATATATATTTATCGTCAATGCATAGGTATTGTGAATGTATAATAATGTTATGTATGTCAGTATGTGCATGTATTGTTAATGTATCCAACCCATTATTCCTTTTAAAAAATAGAAAAACCATGATGACAATCATTTTCAGTGTAATTTTTTTTTTTTAACTTAATAATCATAGATTTATATCTTAGACAATAGTTTATATCATAAATATTAAATTCTGTATTTCAAACCACCTTGTAAAATACATAATAAGCTTTTTAAAATTGTCCCTTATCTATTTGATAAAATGTATGTTTGTACTTGTCAGTTTTCACAAATCAAACATATAATAGGCCACAAGTAGGCCCATATACAAAAGGAACAGGCCGAATTAGCCACACATTTCTGTGTAGTGGGTCTTGACGAAATTGGACTGGAACAGAATAAGACCCAAAACCCTAAAGATTTTGATAATCTTTGATTTATAAGTAGGTCCTTTTTTTTTTGCCCTAACAAAAAACCCTAACGCAGAGAGGAGGCGGAGAGGAGAAGGAAGACGGTGAGAAGCAATGGTGTCGCTGAAGCTCCAGAAGCGGCTCGCCGCATCCGTAATGAAATGCGGGAAGGGAAAAGTTTGGCTCGATCCCAATGAATCTGGCGATATCTCTATGGCCAATTCCAGTAAGACTTTGATTTTTATCTCTCTCTCCAATTACTTTATCAGAACTTGATTGGTTTTATAGATTGTGTTTCATAGAAACTTTGTTTTTGGGAGTGATTAGAAACTTATAGCTCATTGATGAAGTGATAGTGGAAGGTCGTTTCTACACTGTACTGTGATAAATTAAGAATTCGTTTGAGTTTCTATGCATTTCTCAGTGTTTAGGCCTTATGTAGTAGTAAGATTCTGCCTTAAGTTTCATAGAATTGTTATGCAAATGAATTTTGTAATGTCTCTGTTTACAAGCATAGATTAGCCATCTAGATTCATGCATTTTTCTTTTGGGATCCATTGGAATGTTAATTTAACAGTGGTGTTGATACTGTTCTTAATACATTTTGGGATTATGTGAAACAGGGCAGAACATTAGGAAGCTTGTGAAAGATGGTTTCATTATCAGGAAGCCTACCAAGATCCACTCACGTTCTCGTGCCAGGGCTTTGAACGAGGCCAAGCGAAAGGGTCGTCACTCTGGATACGGTAAAAGGCCAAATGAGATTTCCTGCTTGAAATATCTCGTCTTTCTTTGATTATTGCTGGTTTAGTGAACATTTTCTTTTGTACCACTTCAATGTTTTGTAGGTAAGAGAAAGGGTACAAGAGAGGCAAGGCTACCAACCAAGATTCTTTGGATGAGGAGAATGAGGGTGTTGAGGCGTTTCTTGAGCAAGTACCGTGAGTCAAAGAAGATTGATAGGCACATGTACCATGACATGTACATGAAAGTGAAGGGTAATGTGTTCAAGAACAAGCGTGTGCTTATGGAGAGCATCCACAAGATGAAGGCTGAGAAGGCCAGAGAGAAGACACTCTCTGACCAGTTTGAGGCTAAGCGTATTAAGAACAAGGCTAGCAGGGAGAGAAAGTTTGCCAGAAGAGAGGAGAGATTAGCTCAGGTGAGAAATTTACAGACCAATTATGTCTCTCTGTCATATTAGTTTTGGCATACACTCATTAATAGTACTTAATTTTAGGGACCTGGAGGTGGAGAGACAACAACTCCTGCTGCTGCGCCAGCACCTCAACAAGCAGAGTAAGAAACCTGTTCTTGTCTCTTTCCTTTGTTCGGTTTTGGGGATTGAAGTTTGAACTAGGCGGTGATTTTGGGATTTTGTTTTCGTTTTCAGGGTAACGAAGAAGAAGTCGAAGAAGTGATTTGGTTTTGAAACTTTTTTGCGATTGAATCTTGAGTTTACCTGTAGAAGAAGCGTCTTTTATCTTAAATGATTTTGTCGGAGATTCTTTTCTTCAAAAAAATTTCTTATGTTATGGATCTCACATTGCTTATTATGAATTTATCAGTTTTGTTTTTCTTTACATTTTCTCTTTGACCAGTTTCTGATTCCATTGTCTATAAAACTTCAAAGAAGTTGAGAAGTATTCCCAGTTCCCATTCTTGGAGTTACTTATTCAACCATTTATCATATCACAAATGTCACAAATATGTAAATCACAATTTGACTAACTTAATGGTTTTCATATTGGATTTGACAAAACAAAAGTGATATCTATTGAACGACATGTAATAGGTGGGGTAAGTTTTTGTTTTTCCCGAATAATTAAAATCAATAATCTTGTATAGCTTTGATTCTTTGAATACGTGGGGTAAGCTTGGTGGCCAAAAAATAAATACAGTAGCTAGCAATTGATTTGATTCATAAATATTTATATCAAAATTTCTTAATAAAATTTAGGGAAAATTAGATTGAGTACCACTTTTCAGAGAAAGTTTAGGTCCAGTACCACATTTGGGAAAA